GAATATTCATTAGGGATTTGTGAAATGAGCAGGGGTCCTTTTTTTATTTTTCGCGTTCACACGTTTTAAATTCACACCCAGAATTCAACCTCTAGAACTAGGGGCTGGGGTGAGGGAAATGACCAGGATGCTTTGGGATCTGTTGTGAAGGCCCCCTCTCCCTGTCCCCTTACCCCTACCACACTGACCACTGTCTCTCTGTCCCCTGCCTCCTCCCTCCAGGTGAGCGCCCCTTTGCCTGTGACTGGCCAGGCTGTGACAAGAAGTTTGCACGCTCTGATGAGCTGGCCCGCCACCACCGGACGCACACAGGGGAGAAGCGCTTCCCCTGTCCGCTGTGCTCCAAGCGCTTCACCCGAAGTGACCACCTCACCAAGCATGCGCGCCGCCACCCAGGCTTCCGCCCGGAACTGCTCCGGCGTCCGGGCGCCCGCAGCACCTCGCCCAGCGACTCTCTGCCCTGCAGCCTGGCTGGCAGCCCGGCACCCAGCCCAGCCCCCAGCCCAGCCCCTGCCGGCCTGTAGGGCCTGTCCAGCCCACCCGGAGCTCACCCCACCCAGAACACCAGCAACATGCCTGTTGTCCGGGCCCCCTTCCAGTGTCCCCTCGAGGGCCCTAACATGCCTCTGATCCCCTCAAGAAAGCAAGGTGGGGGGCCTGAGACTGGACTAGGGTCAGCTGGACCTTGGAGATGGCTTCCTGGGATGGGTGGCTGGGGCCCATGTCTGTAAATAGCCATGACCTATAACTCTTCCCATCTGCTAAACTGGGACCCTAGGTGGGTGGCTGACAGGTGCTCCCCTTTTCCCTTCACTACATCCCTGGTTTGGGGGATGTGTGTGGGGTGGGGCAGGAAAGGCACCCCCTGCCCAGCATTCGGAATCAGCCCCAGGCCCTCCCTCCAGGTTGGGAAGAAGTATGCAAAGAGCCATAGAGGAGCCAGGCGTGACAGAGGGCCCACCTGTCCCCACCTGCCTGCCTGGGGCCCCTCACCCCACGGAAAGCCATTGGAGTTGTTCAGGGAAATGGGGTGCGGCCTGGCCATCCCCTACTCGGGTATTTGATCTCAGGTGTCCACAGGTTCAGCCCTCCTGCCCACAGGAGGGGGCCCCCCCAGCTCCCCAGCCCTGAGAGGCAGGGGACAGGGAGAGGGTCTGGGTTTTGCTTCTGAGATGGGGGAGGGCAGGAGAGGAACAGGGTTCTTCCAAAGAGCAGTTTGCCCCACTTTGGGGGGCAGATAAGGGGGATAGAGTGAATGCTGGCTTATTTATTTTCTTGTCTCTGCTGGCTGGGGGCTGTCCTGTGCCCCTGGGTAGGTGTGTGAATGTGTGAGTGAGAAAGACAGTTCTTTGGGGAAGCTGCTGTCACAGCTGCTCCCTGCTCCTCAGGGGCAGGACCCCCGACTTTGGCCTTCCGAAGCATCATGCGACAATCAGTCCCTCCTCTTCCTCTCCTCCCCTGCAGGTGGAGGTGGGAGCCCTGGCTCCATTCTGCCCCTGCTGCATGTGCCCCTGGGCTGCAAGGCCTGGACCAGTGATCGAGGCCCTGACCACAAGGACAGGAGGCAGGAGGACTAGCCCCAGACTCCCTGGGAATAGCTCATGTTTGTTTGTTTTTACTGGGTAGAATATTTTTTCAGGCGCCCTTCTTGATCTGGCCCGAGGATGGTCTGCCATCCTCAGGGGATAGGGTGTGAGGGGAGGAGGGTCCTTGTGATCTGAACTTAAGGTGGAGGAGGGGTGGTTGCCATGTCTTCTGGTAGAGTTGGCTGGATTTCATTTTAGACAGAGGCACTGAGGACCCCACCCCCCAGAGTGGGAAGATACCCATGCTTTCTGCCCCCAGACCAGAAAAGAGCTTGTCCCGCCGTCGGCTGCAGGAGGTTTGTGGCATTTGTATTTGTCCCAAAGCCTCCTTGTGTACCGACTAGGGGCCGGGGGTTTGGATGGCACTGTTGTGGACCCAGACCCAGCCTGGCAGGCTCCAGGAACTGGTGCCTGGGGTTCTGGGTCGGAGGGGGGTGGGTAAGTCCTTTTGGAGCTGAGTCTATCTTCAGGTTTGGCCTACAGGTAGATCCTTGCAAGGCTGATTCATCTACCCTTAATCCTTCCTCTCCCAGAGATGGTGAAATGCTTTTGCTTGTGAGAGCAGAGGGGCATGGGCCCTGTTAACCTTTGTGTCTGTGTGGATGTCCGCTTGGTTGTCCTCGGCCTGGCAGGTGCCTGTCCACAGGACTGTGGATCCCAGGGGCCTGAAGAGACCCACACCCCCCTCCTTCAAGGGGCCAGTGGTAGCTGTGGCCTTTCAAGGTTGGGGGCAGGGGAGGGAGAATAGCGTCCCTAGGGACTTGTGCTTTCTTGGGTGGCGCCCCTCTCCCCTTCCCTGCCTAACTTCATCCTCGTATTTAATTAAACAAGCCTTTTTTTTTAAACCCAACTAAGTGCTCTTGTGGTTTTTCCCACTGCCAGCCCCCACCAGCTGGTGGGCTCTGTCCCACTCACCAGTGTGGTCTGACGCAGAGGGCTAGTGAATTCAGAGATGTGGTGGGGGTCTTGGCCAGTCCACAGTGGCTGGGACACAATGCCCTGCAGGAGCATATGCTGCTGTCCAGTGTCACCCACCCCTTGCTCAGCTGTGATGACCAGCACCCCTTTCTGCCCTGACACCAGCCTACCAGGCATGGTGCACTGGGGTGGCGCTAGGGGAGCCCAAGCCCCTCGGGGCCATTGGTGGGAGCCCCCCCAATTTTCATGTGCCAACAAGCTCATACGCTATTCTGTGTTCCCAATTGGGAAGGCAGCTAATGGAGGGGAGGGGCCCCTTAAGGAGAAAGGATTAGAGAGCATTGAGAAGCTGGCTCAAGCTTTGAATTGCCTTTCTAGAAAAATGGCATCCAGATTCCATTGGTCTCCAAAGCCATGAAAGCTGGTGGGGCTGCTGGTGAGCCAGTGCAGACGTTCTAGGGGCCTTTCCTGCTTCCAGAAAGCCCATGGCCCCACCATCTGGTGGTCAGTTGCCTGCTCCCGCCCAGCTTTCATCAGGGTCTTGTCCCTGTGGCTGTCAAAAGTTGCTTCCATCCCGCACACAGGCTCTCCCCTTTACTTGAGGATGGTCTCTCTTGCACTCTCTTGCACCTGCCTCGCTCCTGCTCCACCCATGTTCTCTCTCTAGGATTCTGCTCTGCAAGACCAGAGACATCCCTCCCTAGTCCCCTGTTCCCCTCTGGCAGGCTTCCCTGTTGCTTTGCAGCATTCCTGGAATGTGGGGTCCATGTGCTCATCCCCTTCCTCAGTTTCTCCTGGACACACTCCCACCTGCCCCAGAAACAGCTTGAAGATGTCCCCTCCTGCCTCCTGGACGCTCCTTTAGCATACGGACCTCTGACTTCTCCCTCAGTTTAGGTCCCCCTGTGTGCGGATGACATCCTCAACCTATCACTAGCCCAGACCTCCCCTTGAACCCCAGGACCCAATGTTTCCAGCCCATCACCAGGCTGCTCTTCGGCATTACCCCTTTAGTCACTGGCAGCTCTGTGTTTCCAGGTGTGCGGGCCAGACTCCTTGGGGCTACCCTTGATTGTGACTCTGTCTCACACATCCAGTCTATCTGGAAACCTCCCTGAAGCTGTACCTTCAAAACCTGGCCACAGCCCCCATCATTGTCCACCTAGAGCAGCTTAGCCCCCTCCATCCTGGTCCCCAGCTCCCACCCTCAGGACCACAGTTGTCCTTCCATGGCATCCATCCACCAGAGAACAAATGTAAGCACCTGAATCAGGTCCTACCTTGCCCCTCCCCAGACAGTTCACTCAGCAGCCAACATAAGGTGCCTGTGTGCACCCGAGTCAGGTTCTGTCCCTCTGCCCACAGCTCTCCAGGGTTCTCACCTCCTCCTGGATAAAAGTTCTCGAGGCCCGCAAGGCCTTGTAGCACCTCACTGCTCCCCAATTTCCTGCCTGCCATCGCCTCCCCCTTTTCCCCTTGCTCATTGTGCTTTAGCCACACAGGCCTCCACACTGTTCCTCCAACATGCCAGAAACAAACCTGCCCCAGAGTCTTTGCATGGGCTGTGCCTTCTACCTAGAATACTCTTTCCCTAGATGTCTGCTTGGCTCCTCTTTTTTCAGAACTCAACCCCCACTTTCCCCACAGGACTGTGGCTAACTCCTTTTCCCAGTCCTTTATTCTACTCTCCCACCCTCCCCCCGAACTTTCTGCCTTGTATTATGCAATCTCATTTACTTATTTCCTAAATTTCCTATTGTCCGTCTCCCCATCCGGAACGTCACCTCCATCGAGGTGGTGATATTGCTTTGTTCATTGATGTTTCTAGCATGGAATAGATACTTGATAAATATTTGTGGATAGACTGGCCAAGGCCAGTGAGCATGAATGAAGTACTTATTAGTGTGAGCTCAGTGATGACCTCATTACACCTCACTAGTTCTTCCTAAGTTCTAAACATGGGCAACAAATTTGCAGCATTTTAAAAACTAGTACTGAAACAAAATGGTACTCAGTTAAATATACCTACATATGTATTCATAGCAGCACAATTCACAATAGACAAAAAGTGGAAACAACCCAAATATCTGTCATCTGATGAATGGATAAAATATGGCTCAGCATAGCATCTAGGCCAGCTGACAGCAGGTGCTCAGTATTTAGTGGGCAAATGAGTAAATGAGAACAGGACTCCTGTGTATCTGGGGATCAGACTGCTGACACCAGTCCAGGTGGGAGAAATTAAGCACTGACTGAGAGCCAACTGTATACCAGGGTGGAGGTAAATTTTAGCTTGGATGGAGTTAACTCCCATCGGTGTTGCCGGGTTCAGGTACAGGGCTCATTTTGTCCAGCAGAGGGCGCTCTAGCGGGATATGCTAATGAAAAGCAAATTAAACACAAATAGGCTATAGCGGGGCCCTGAAGAGTTTTTTGGTTTTTTTTTTTTTTGTCAGGCGCGCCGTGGACAGCTCAGACGCCGCAGGGGCCTTGGGCTCAAGATGGCGCAGCTGCCGCTGCGGAAGGGTGGGCGGCGGCGCCGGCGAGCCTTCCGAAGGCCTCAGGCAGGACAGTCTGTACACTCCACTCCATCTCTCACGGCTCCCTGTCCCGGCCCATGAACTTGCGACTCGCCTCGATTTGGCGAGATCAGGTGTTTCTAATCGGGCGCGCGGTGGACAGCCGCTCCCCGGGGCCTTGCGGCGGCGTCCCAGGGGCCTCTTGGGGCCTCGGAGCAAGATGGCGGCGGCGGGGTCCGTGAAGCGCGGACGGCGGCGACCGCGGTGCCCGTGAGGGACCGGGAGCCTGGGCGGCTCCCGGCCGGGGCCTCGCCGCGGGACGGACCATGCTACGCTCCACAGGCTTCTTCCGGGCCATCGACTGCCCTTATTGGTCTGGGGCGCCCGGGGGTCCATGCCGGCGGCCCTACTGCCACTTCCGGCACCGCGGGGCCCGGGGCCCGGGCGCGCCCGGCGGCGGCGGAGCGGCGTCCCCCGCAGCAGGTAATGCCCGCCCGCTCGCCCGCCCCGGGCTAGGCTCCCCGGCCCAGGCCTGGACTCCACCGCCGGCGCTTCCCCGACTCTCTTTCTCCGCCCAGCCCCTCTCCACACTGTTGCAGGCAACATTCCTCTGGCCGGAACCCGGACTACCCACGGTAGCCCGGGTTTGTGTTCGCTCTACTTTTCTGGCTGCACCTTACTTAGCAGCACCTACTGTGTTTCACGCCGAGTGTTACACTCACTTGACAGGGACGGGAGGGGAATAGGCTTCCGAGGAATGCCTTGCTTTGGTTTGAGCAGTGAACGTTAATGGATTTGTTTTTCTTTATACATCATGATGGTAATTGTCAATGTCATGGAAATTTGGTGACAGCTGCGAGGGATCTGGCAAGGATTTTTGTAGGAGGTTTGAGATTTGAGCTGAGGCATTAGTAGTATCTTCAGGCCATAAGTTGTTTCTTTTGCTGAGGTCCCTTTACTTTTTAAAGCATCATCTCTATGTCCCTCCCTGGAAGCTGTGCATCCAGGTGTGGCTCCAGGCCCTCAGGGAACCCCTAAGGAACCAGGGCCACCAGGCTTCTGGGATTGAAGCTTAAGGTCTCCCAGGAGGAGCCTTCACTACTGCTGTGGATGGGGGTGGGGGGTGGGTTCTAGTGTTTTGATTTTTTCTGTAAAGATGGGAGTAAAAAAAAAGGTGTTCTGGGTTGTCAAAGCAGTCCTCTGTAAATATCACCAGTGTAGAGTTCACTTCTAGCATTAGCTGTATTACCAGTACAAGGAACCTGGATTTCTGTTTGTGGTTCAGCCCCATATAAGCCCCTCCATTTAAATCAGCCTTTTTTCAGGACTCAGAGTAATGTTCATTTAAAAAACATTAGAGAGGACCAAGAAGCCAAAAGAAAAATGTTTTGTATGAGTCCTTGATTTGCCAGCTTGCTCTCCTTCCTCCCAGTCTTAAAAACAGCAGGCTTTGTCTTTTCACTGAAGTTGCGATCCTGCCACATTGACCAAGTAGAATTCAGCTTTCCAAGGCCCCACAGTCCCAAGTGAGGCAAGAGGGCACCTCTGGTCTATGGTTCCCACACAGGGCAGCCCCTGCAGATGGCCTGGGAACTGTAAAAACCTGCCCCTCACCCAGATCCAGGCTTTGGTATTTTAGGACCCTTTATTTAACATCTATGAGTAGAGCAGTGAGTCTGGGTCTAGGCTTTGACAGGTGGCCCGTGGCCTGGGCTCAGGCTGGTGGGAAGTGGGTGGTGAGTGGTGGGATGCATGGAGGGGCTAGGGAAGGTAGTTGCACCAAGAGAGACTTGGATGTGTCTTGCAGAGTGTGCATTTTACCTGTGTAGCAGTTTCACCTGGACGAATCGAATCTGCCGCCTCCCCAGGAGACGCTGGGCAATGCCTGGGCACATCTGTGATTGTTACCAATGGCAGTGCTGCTGGCATTGAGTGGGTAGAGGCCAGGGATACTGCCCAACACCCTCCAGTGCTCAGGATGGCCCCTTTACCTACACACACAGATTTACCAGGCCCGAATGTCAGTGGTACCAGTGTGATCAGTGTCCCAGCACTGGCCTGTTGTGTATTTGGGAATGGGATGGGTGAGTTCCCCAAGGACTATGGGGATGGCAGACCCTGCAAACACTACCTCCCTTAGCTCCTCAGGCCCAGAGGCTAGAGGCACAGCAGCCCAAAAATCCTGGGTGGAGACCCTGGCTGGGCCGCTCAGTTGGTTGGAGCATCGTCCAATAAGCCAAGATTGTAGGTTTGATCCCTGGTCAGGGCACATACAAAAATTAACCAATGAATGTGCAAATAAGTGGAACAACAGAATCACTGTTTCTCTTTTTCTCTGTCTCTTAAAAAAAAAAAAGAACCCTGGATGGGGTTCTTTTTTCCCCTAGGGGCTCCAATAGAAGAGGTAGGGTGCCCTTTGCATTTTCAGCCCCTGTGATGAAGTGGAGCCCCAAGTTAATGCATTTTGCTTTAGCTTTCTATTGTGTAAAGAGCCAGCCCAGGAGGGGGCCAACCTGGCCTCCCACTGGTCAGTATTATTTGCCTCAGTTATCTCTTCTGCAAACTAGGTCTCAACAAAACAGCAGTGCTGCCTCCGCTCTTCAGTCTGATGCTGCTGAGCTGCAGAAACCCTTCTTCCTGCTTTACTGTCCTCCTCCACTCCCATCCCCCACCCCCAGAATCCTTTCCACAAAATAATTTCTAGCACATAGTTTGAAAGCTGAGTAGTGGAAGCTGGTGGGAGCTGAGCAATGAGTGCCTACGGGTTGGATTTGTCATTCTTTGAGTTGCACATGTGCAGCAAGTGGAGTCTGCCTGGTGTGATCTGATTCAGGACAGAGTGAACACAGAAGGAAATGAAAAGTGCGGAGGGAGGAGCTGGTCTGGGCCAGTCCTGGTAGACTCAGACTGAGATTCACCGAGGTGTCTCCCAGCCACCATCCTCCTTCATGATGGCCAGGTCCTCATGAGTCCCTGCAGTGATCAGCCTGTGCTGTTTGAAGGAGCAGGGACATGTGCTGGCAGTTTGGGAGCAGTCAGTTCTGTGGCTTCCTCTGGGCACTGGGTTTTCTGGAAGTGGCTATGTGGAATGCCTGTTGGTAGAGGTAAGTGGGTGATAGGCAGGATTGAAGGCTGAGAAGCATTCATGGGGGAACTGCCCTCCTGCTTGCTGCTTTAGTTGGCTGGAGGAGAATAGGATGGGAAGCTGATGGGGGGGCCCATAATCTGGATGCTCTGAGGGGCGGGACTTGACCATCTCACGAACTATGGCCTTGGCCTGGAACTGCGCATGCAGGTATACCCAGGCCTTCATGTCATCTATACAGTCAGGAGCTGGTGCTGGGGCCCTCCAAGAGGGCTCTTCCAGGTCTGTGTGAATTCAGTACATATCTATGGACCAGGCAGGAGGGTTCTGGATTTCTATCCAGAATCACAGATAGGGGCTGGGGTCCAGAGAGAGAGTAGTTGGCACGTGGGGTTGTAGGGAAGTCAGGTGAGTGTCCTCATGCATGTGGTTACTGATCTGGGCTTTGAAGGATGAGTAGGAGTTTTACCTGATATTGGAAGCAGGTTGGGAGGATTCTGGTCAAGGAGACAGTGCACTGAAAGGCATGGAATGCTCTTGTGCTCTGTGGTTTGGAAAGGCATAGGAGGGGGAAGGAGAGGCTGTCCCCCAGCATCACTGCCACCCCCAGCAGTCCTGACAGGAGTCCCTGTTGTCACACTGACTTGTAACTTGTCCTTTTCTAGCACAGGCCCTGGGAGAGCCCCTGCAATACAACCAGTCTGTGCCAAAGATGGGAGATTGGGGGACTCAGAGCCAGTTAACTTTGCTCTGTGGCTGCTGGAAGCTGTCTGTCCTGAAGATACTCTCTCTTCTGATCACCACAAAGGCTTGTGTCCTTGGGAGTGGACGTGCTCCAGGCATTGAGGGGCCCACGGCTCTTGGTCATTATTACATTCACTTGCTCATCTTTCACTCATTCATCTGACAGACCTTTTGAGACATTTGTACTGGTCGGCTTGGGTGCAGAGAGGAGCCAGGGGTCAGTGTGTTGAGCTGCTAGACAGAGGAGGCAGGGCCTGGAAGGTGGTCAGGAGGGAATGTTCAGAGGGCGCTGGAGCACATTCACTCCAGGCACATCCTGGTGATGCTTGTCTCTGAGTGTCCTAGAGGCCAGATCTATCCCCACATACTTGACAGTCACATATCACAGTCACTTGTATGGAGAGACCAATATCCCCTCCTCTGGGAGTGTGGCCCAGAGGGCCCTCACAGAGCAGGGGTATGGGCACTGTTTCAGGAGCCAGCCCTCCATCATCCCCTCCCCGGCACCTGCCTGCAGAGTGAAATAATAAAAGCCAGTGTGCTCACGTGTAACCCCTGTGTGTGGACTCTTTCTTAGGGGATATAGCTGGCTTGCCCCCTCGCCTTGGTCCCACGTCCTGGGACTGCCTGTAGGAATGCAGCCCTTCGACTGCCCTGGCTGGGGTGCATCTCCACCTGACTTCACTTGGAACATCTCAAGGTGCTTGGAGTTGCTAGGTCTCTGTGCTGGGTGCAGGGCGCTCCTGGGAGCCTGTGTGGTGGAAGAGGGGACCCCAGAGTCGCCCACTGGAAAGGAAACCCACATGTTTGGTGAGTTGGAGATACACTGGGGCCAGGAAGAGTGGGAGCGCTCTATTTTGAAGCTTTTTTATTGGGCCCACTGAAGTGAATTGTTCCCTCGTGGACTGTGAGAATGGACAGGTTCTAAGGAGAGAAGGCTGCCTTTCACCCCACCCCCAGGGTGCCTGTCTTTACCTTTGCAGCTTACCCTTCTGGTTTTTCCTCTCAGTTTTTATCCTGTCCTGTATATTTCTGCATGTTTTGAAGTATGGCCTGTTGTGGTTACAATACAGGCTGCTCAGCCTTGGGCAATAGGTGTTTCGAGGGCGGCCTGCCCCTGGATCCAGATTTGGGAGCAGGGTGGTCTGACAGCCATTGTAATTACTGATGCCAGGGTGGCTCTGAGGGCACAGAGAGAATGGGCTTGGTGGTAGCCCCAGGTCTGGCTGGGGACCCTCTTTCCTTTCTCTGGAGCTGGCTGTGTGGTGCCTTCTACGCTGAGGTCCTGACCTCGTACTATTTGCAAGGTGAGGCTAAAGCTGAGGGAAAGCTCTGGGGGGAACTAGAGGAGGCTGTTGGGATCTGAGCCTCAAACCAGTATCCCAGGTCCTCCGGCATTGTCACCAGCCCCAGAGACAGGTGTGGACCCTGCCAGGTGGGGAGGAGGACCCCAGACCTGCTTCTTTAGGTACAGCCAGCCTCAGTAGGGACATGTCTCAAAGGTCCGTGTATACCTGGGAACACATTCCTGGTGGCCTGCGTGTTCGCTCTCCAAGTGTTCGGGCTGCCCCGGGCAGTGTGCGCCACTCTCTTGGTTCAGAATGAGTGAGTGGCCGGTGCCTTCATTGCTAGGCTTCAGGCTCCTGATCTGTGGGGCATCCCAGTGTCCGGGAGTAGGGGTAGAGGGGCCCCCAAGAGCAGAGAGGCTGGGCCTGGGGGAATGAGTGGTGGCCAGACCCGGAAGGTTACTCTGCCTTTCATTGCGGGTGCTGTCTGCCAGATCTTGCTTCCCAGAAAAGTCAAAAGTATGGAGCCCTCTGACCCTGAGCCCTCAGCCTCAACCCCTGCACTTGTTCCACCACTACAGCCTTAAGGAATGCCCTTGGTCTCCTGGCTCTACCTCAAGGCCATTGCCACCCAGGTTGGGTCTAGTCCTTAACTAGTCTTAATGTCCCCACTTATCTCCTGTGCGGCAGGGACTGTGTCTCTTCCTGGTGTTCCCAGTGATCAGGCTATGACTGCCACCTGGGTTGTAGGAGACCCTGCTGAGGTCTTATCCAGTGTGAGCTGGGGGATCCCTGTGCCATCCTGCACTTATCTCCGTCCCTTGGGCATACTAGGGAGAAAGGGGTGGGGCATGGTCAGGCCTCTGAAAGGCAGAGACTGGGGTCATCTCTGAGCGGGGTCTTTACGCCCAGTGTCTTGTCATTGATTCCACGTGCAGCAGTTAGAGAAGGGTGCCTGTGGTTTCTGGAACAGAGGGTGTGGTGGAGCGGGGGATCAGGAAGGAGCAGAAGTCGGGACAGGGCCAGAATGGGAAAGGGTCGTTTTTGTTTGTTTGTTTGTTTTTAATTTTATTAATTTTATTTTAGAGAGAGGGGGAGGGAGGGAGAAAGAGGAGGAGAGTGACATATCGATTGGTTGCATCTCAGTACATGCCCCAGCTGGGGATTGAACCCACAACCCAGGCATGTGCCCCCACTTGAAATCGAACCAGTGACCCTTCAGTATGCAGGACGACACCCAACCAACTGAGCCACACCAGCCAGGACTGGGGAAGGGTTTTTTTGCAGAGTGAAGGTCTGGAGAGATTAGAGGTGGCTGCCAGGACTGGAGGATGTCTATACCTGTCTTGTTTGTGTATCAGCCTGTTAGGGTTTGGTGGTGTTCTCCCAGCTCATGTCCTGGCCTGTACAGGTTTCCTGTCCAATGCCCTGTGGCCCCAGCAGCTTGGGGAAGAGGCCTGATCTTTGCTGTGCTAGACCTGCCCCAGAAGCTGATGATCAGAGAGTCTGAGCAGGGTCAGGGTCACTGAGGAAGCCTCTCTGTCCTTCAGCCAGGCCAGGTCCTGATGGGTGTGCAGTGCTGGGTACACAGAGCCAAACACGAAAGACCAGGGGAAGGTGAGCTGTGGGGCCTGGAAGAGGTCTTTCCATATCTTTCCCCCTCCCTGATCTGGTGAAAGGCCTTCCCATGGGACATCCCTCAAATGACCACCAGGCCAGCCCTTCACCTCATGGGTGTCCCTGGAGCTGGGCAGCAGCAGACCCCTGCCTCACCCTGCAGTAGGTGTCAGGAACCAGGCCTGGGAGTGTGACTTCCCAGAGTGTAACACTTTTGTCCAGACCTTTGAGGAGCTCTACCAGCCATCCCAAGACTGCTTTTCTGAAAAACAGCTCATATCTTAGCGGTGTGCTTTCTGGTGTGTCCCCTCAAAGGAGCACTGTACCCTTCCATCTAAATCCCCAATGATCAAAGGAACCCTTCCAAGATGCCTGTGGCCCTTCCCGACCTCAAGGGTCACCTGTCAAGTTGCCTTCTGACTGCCCCAGGGCATCTGGCAGCTTGCAAACATTTTCTTGGGAGCTTCTCCAGTTCTGACAGGTCCCCTAAAGGACCTGGTCCTCTCAGGTGGGTGGGGCAGGGGATGAGATGTATCTTCTGTATTTATGTCCCTCCCCCCAACCCTCAGCTAACCTTGGGGTGACTCAGAGGCTGAGCTCTGGGCCTCAGAGCTACAGCAAAACTCCTGGCACTTGTGTGGTAGAAGCTCCCAGGCTTGTCTAGAACCCCTCAGTCTGATGACAGAGCCTTATGGTACCAATGGGGAAACAGGTCCCGGAGAGGGCAGGATCAGGACCTTGACATAGGCCTTCCTTAAGCAGTTTCCTTTGTCCTTTGATATAGCAGGTGGGGCAGGGAGGCAGCTTTCACCTGGGACTGAAAACGCCCCACCTTGGCAGAGCTCCTGGGTGTTTGGATGAAGGGCTGGGGTCCAGCTAGGAGCTGTGTCCCTTCAGAGTGAATAGCTTGGACCCCCAAGTGCACTGCCCATCCCACCTGACAAGCTAGTTCATGGGCTGCCTAAAAACTGGAGGCAGTAGAGCAGGTGTAATGGCCCTTAGGAAGGATGCCAGTACAGGCTTTCATTGAGCAAGCCAGAGCTCTGCCTGGGCAGTGAGGCCAGGCGGCCTCAGGAACTTTGCAGGACCCCCACTCTCCTCCCTCCCAGGGCACAGTGCCTCTTCCTCCTGGCTCCCAGAACACAGGCTCCTCAGGGAAAACCCTTTTGGTTCAAATCTAAAGTGGCTGAAAATCTTCAAGCTCTACACTGTGACCTCCTGACCTTGGAGAAGGGCTGAGGCCTTCATGCTGATGTGCCTTTGGCCTTTTGTGGGCATGGGTCCTGACCTCCATCCATTGGTCCCACCAACTGTCTTGGGGGAGGGCCTTCCCACTAGATGGGCCCTTGCTCCCGTTCCCCACAAGGAGGGCAGGGTGGGGCAGGAGCCATCTTAACCAAAGAAGGGAGTTAGGGAGTGAGGTGGCCTGGGCTGGATCGGACACCCCCCACACCCCCCTGCAGAGATCAGCGCAATCTGACAGATCCCTCTGTGGACATGCCCAGTAAATGGCCCCAGCTTGTGGCTGGTGGCCTTGGCCTGGCCTCTTCCACTCTGCTGGCAGCTAGGACTTAGGGGAGGGAGGGGGCATTGGTTCCTAATATTCATGCAGGTGGGTGCTGAGCTGGGGTGGGTCTGCCATTGGTGCATAGGGACTCATCCTGGGTTAAGGTGGGCTGAGAGGGTGTCCTCAACCCTGTGCTGGAGCCTTTAGCTTTTCCCTCATAGTGGTCCCTTCACCTTGTCCCTCACTGGGTCATAGGGACTGTAAGTTTTCATCCAGGACCCTCACACCCCCACATCCTCAGCTATAATGCGGGGGGCACGAAGTAGCTGCTCCCACTGTGAACTCCCCAAAAGGAAAGCCCCTGGCCTTTGTTTTGGTGCTGGCACCCAGCCTTGGGTCATTTTACCTCCTGTCTCCTACCCCCAGCCCTGGTGCATCCTCTGTGGTCTGAGGCATAGATTCATGCTTCTTTTCTCCTTTCCAAATACGGTTTCAAAAATAGGATCCAAGTTAAAAGCCCGACTGCACGTCTACAATGAACCTCTCCCTCCCTCATTCCTTTTCCGAAGGCAGCCCAGACAGCCAGTCCCCTGCAAAGCTTGTCACCTGTGGGCAGCCAGCCAAGTGGGCTTCTTCTTAAATGAGGTTGCATGAGTTTCCTGGGGCTGCTATGGCAAGTCACCAAACCCTGGGGACCTTCCAGCAGCACAGATTGATTCTCTGACAGTCCTGGAGGCCAGATTTCGACACTCAGCCTCACAGGTTAAGTCCAGGCGTGCGCAGGGCTGGCTCCTGGAGGCTTTGGGGGAGTCAGCTGTTATTCCCCACCACAGAGCAGGACTCCCATTGGCCTTTTCTTTAGTGATGTTGCAGAATTACATCCGATAGAAGTCTAGTGATGAACACTTTAAACTCAGGAATTTTTATGGTAGATTGATATATTTGAATATGCACATTACTCCTTTCTCAAAACGTCATGCTTTATTTGCTCACATGTCATTAAAGATGTCTGCACCTCTGTCCATAGTGAGACCTTGAGGTTTGTGCCAACACTGGTGGCAGAGTCTGTGCTGACCTCTAGTATGTGCTTTTCCCTTTTTTACACCCATGGGATCACCCCATAGATTGCCTTCTGTTGCTTGTTTTCTGTTAAAAAGTGTCCTTTGCCCACAGAGGTACTTAGTGGTGGACACTTCAGTGGTTTCCATTTTCTTGGTTGTACAGACACAGCTCAGCAGACTTTCCTGCAGGTGGAGGTGTGGAGCACAGCCCTGCACACCTCAGACCCTGCTGGGTGGGCCGTGTCTACTCCCCTTCCACCCTCAGACCTGAACTGTGGAGCTCTGAACACACTCCCCTTCCACCCTGTCGAGCATCTCTGTGCCCTTCAACCTGCCTGGGTATTAGGCCTCCTGTGGCATCTTCCCAACTCTCCAAAACAGGAAGCAGTGTGGCATGGCCTTGGGGTAGGCATGCCCAGCAGGAATCCTGCCACCATCGCATCTGGTTTCTGGGTCTTAATGGTCTTATCTGTTATGTCTCTACCCCTTCCAGTTGTCCCAGGGGCCACACTAGTCTCTTGACATTGTGGCTGTCTGTGGAACCAGGATTCTAAACCCCTCACCCCACTTATCAGCCTCTGCAGATCCTGGCATGGAGGGGCCCTTTGGAATCCTGCTGTGCAGGCCAGGCCTTGGTGGGGGTCTGTTCCTGCTAGGTCCTGAAAGGCCAGTTCTCTGGGTCAAGGCAGATTGCTGGCACACGTGGCTGCTACTTCACCGGCCCGCTCACCGCTGTTTCCTCCATTTTACCGTTCCAGGGCTTTGTTATGACCCGTACAACCCTGAGCTGCCGAAGCTCCCGGCACAGAGGGAGAATGGTGTCCTGGGCAGAGGGGACGAGCCCCACTCAGACATCCTGGAGCTGGAGCTGGTCAACCAGGCCATTGAGGCTGTGCGCTCTGAGGTGGAGATAGAACAGCGGCGGTACCAGGAGCTCTTGGAGACGGCCCGTGAACACGTCTCTCCTGAGGTCCCTGCTCTGGCGCCCCATGGCTCTACCACCAGCCTGGACGAGGACACCTTTCCTCTGTCCTTTGATTACAACCCTGGTGGCCGAGGCCTGCTAAGCCCCAATGCCAGCTACCAGCCCACTCCCCTTGGCACCCCTGCTGAGCTGGGCAGCAAGTACTTGCTGGCCTCTTTGGACCCAGCTCAGAGCCATGGCGGAGGGGGCAGTGGTGCCTTGGAGTACATCCCCAAGGCTGTGAGTCAGCCTCGGCGGTATAGCCGCCCAGTCTCTAGCAGCAAGTACGTGGTAGATGATTCCAAGCCATCCACTGACCTAGAGTATGACCCACTGTCTAACTTTTCTGCTCGGCTGCTCAGCAGGGCCAGCTCCAAGGATGACCGGGCCCCCAAGCGTCCCCGGGGCTCCCGTGGCAACAGTGAGCCCTACACACCCGCACTAAAGAAGCCCTGTGACCCCTTCAGTGGCTGCGATGCCAGGTTCTCTGACTCAGATGATGATGCTGCCACAGCTATAGGGGACAGGCCTGCCAGTGCCAGCCCTCTGAGGGCCCAGGCAGCAGCTGAGAGCAAGGGCCCCAACAAGCCAGGCTCCAGGAAGGGCCAGGAGCCCGAGGAGGGTGGCCTTCGGGAGACCAAGGAGATGGCCGTGCAGTACGATGTGGGGGACCTCAGGCAGCCTCCCAAAGGCCTCGATGGGGCATGTCCAGCCAAGTCTGGTTCCCAGTCAGCCATGACCTCACAAGAGTGCAGTGGCCCCAAGAAGGGAAGACCCAAGAAGAAGAAAGGTGGGGTGCTGCCAGCCCCTGGACCCACGGACAGTATCCGGAAAACAGACAGGGGTAAGGATGGAGAGCACAGGAGGCCAGCTGTGAAGCCACATACAAACAAGAGGAGCTCACAGGCTGGCAGTGTCCAGCGCAGGGCAGAGCGGCCCCAAGGGACCAAGAAAAAGCCATCCCTGGCAACCTCAGTGGCCAGCTCAGGAAAAGGCATGAATGACCAGCTGCGGCCACAGCCAAGCCCCAGCCCCACTCGTGGAGATGCCCCTCAGTTGCCGGACAAGATGGGTGGGAAGTCCTCACCTGGGAAGTTGGTAGAGCGGAAGGCCCACTCGCTGGATGAGGGCACCTCCCAGACAGCCCCCAAGCTGCAGAGGCGAACCCTGAGCCATGCAGACCTCTTTGGGGATGAGAGTGAGGATGAGGACCCAGGGCCCATGGCACCTGGACCGTATCCCCCTGCCCTCCCCAGCCTCAGCTCCAGCTCGGACTCTGACTCGGACTCTAGTCTGGGCCTCTCAGCCACGCAGGGGCCGCACAAACGCCTCAAGGCTTCCCCACACTCCTCGCCTTGCCGGGCCGCTGCCGCTGCCGCTGCCTCCTCCTCTTCCTCCTCCTCCTCTTCCTCTGGGGCAGGCACAGATGTGGACTACTCTGCCTTGGAGAAGGAGGTCGACTTTGACTCTGACCCCATGGAGGAGTGCTTGCGAATTTTCAATGAATCCACCTGTGTCAAGACCGAGGACAGGGGCCGGTTGGCCCGGCAGGTGAGTCTGGGCTGGGTTCAGGAAGGCTGCTGGGCACTCCATCCCCAGCATCTCCCTGTGACTGGAGTCTCAGTGCCAAGATGGAGATAGCCTCATAACTCGTCCAAAATGCAGCAGTCCTTGGTGGCTGTTTGCTGCCCTCCTGCACCCTGTCCAGAAGGAGAATGCTGGCTTCTGGCCCACTGGCAGGCTTCTGGCCTACCTGATGGGGCCCCTGTGGCAGCTTCCAAGTGTCAGGCAATGGGGTATTGGGTATCCTCAACCCCCACCCCCTCTTCAGAGTTCCTCTCCCCATTCCCCAACTCTTCTCCTTCTTCCACCACCTTCTCTCTCCTCTCCTCTACCTCGTGTCTCCCTCTTCCCTGGCTCCTTCTCTCCCCTCTTCTCTCTTCCCTCCCCCTTCCTTCCCCTCTCCTTTTTCTCCCTTCTCTGGTCTTTATCGCAAATCTTTTTAGCAGCCTGCCTCCCCCTCTCCTTGTCCCATGTGTCCATATTAGCCACCAGAGGGCGCTTGCTCTAAACAGCAGGATGTAACAGTCCCTGCACGGAAACCTCAGAAACCTGTGTTCCCTGTGGGGTCAGAGTCTGATCCTGGGCTCCTTGTTAACACTGTCCCGTCCACAGCCCTTTGAGATGTTGCCATCTGATTTCATTCCTTTGGTTCTCACGTTTCTGAGCCTTGCCCTGGGCAAGGTGGGCAGGCAGGTGGGTAGATGAGGGAGGGGAGCCGGAGGCAGTTTTCCATGAAGGGCTGGGTGCATCTGCAGCGCTTTTCCCCAGTGCGGCATGGAAAGTGGGCTCAGGACTGGGCCAGCACCCAGGGTCCTTGGCTGGGGGGTACTGAGTCTGTTTCCTTACCTGTAAGGTAGGGCAGGGAGTGCCTCTGGGGCTAGAGCTGAGGACCTGAATGTGATACGGAGCCGCCCTTCCCACCCTACTCCCACCCTTGATTTCCAGGCTGTAGAGCTGTGGGTAGGAGGCCAGGGGAGGGAGCCTTAGTGAGGGATGATCATGTGTTCCAGCCCCCGAAAGAAGAGAAGGTGGAGAACAAGGAACAGTTGGGTCTGACCACTCTGTTCCCTGGGCAAAAGAGGAGGATCTCTCATCTCTCCAAGCAAGGCAGAGAGGTAGGAGTTTGCTTTGGGGTCCTGGGTGGAGGCTGGCAGGAGGGAAAGGGTCTCCTGTTTACAGAACAAGGTTGATGGTTCCTTTGTCGAATGTGCTCTGGAGCTCCCTGTGTCCTGGCAGACAAGTGTCTGGGGCCCCCATCTAGTCTGAGTTGTGATCCATGCTTGCAGGAGGGGGTCCCAGAGCAGGGAGAGTGCAATGCATGTGAGCCATTCCCCAGGGTCACAATGCGTGGCCTCTGCCTTGCTCTGAGCTGCGCTGTGTGATCTTGGGCAAGTGGCCAGATGTCTTTGAGCCTTGGATTCCTCCTCTGTGTCCAGAAGATGGGCCCCACGCTCTGAACTCAGAGCTCCCTCCTGTTGATTCAGTCCTGAGGGAGGCCTGGGACTCTGGAAGCCAGGCCAGAGAAGATTAGATCAAATGGGGTTGGGTCAGCTTGCCAGTCTAATCAGGGGCAGGGATTTCTGCCCGCCCCATGCCTATATCAGGGCTGAAGGCACAGCCCGGGCTCTTAGATGCCAGAGGCTAGGGGAGCAAGGCCATGCCAGCACCTGGGACAACTGGGACAATGTGAGCTTGAGGGCCATAGTGCTGAGCTGGTTTCCACCAGGGTATCTGCAAGCTCTGAGGGTGGAGCTGGGTACATCCTGCCCAGCCTCAACCCTGGAGCCCCTGCCTCCCTACTGGTGGCTCTACCATCAGCCTGTTGCCCCTGGCGGCCTGCTCTGTGTGCTGTACCCCCCATACATCTGGGTCCTGGAATTTCTCATCATTCAGCCAGAGCCCGTGAGGAGAGGCCCGCTGCCCCCCACCCGGCTTCCCACTGCCCAGGAGGTGTGCTATCGGCGGGCTCAGCAGGCACAGAGGGAGTCAGCTAGCTGGCTTCAGGCTGCTCAGCGGCCACCCGAGAAGCCGTCCTCCATTCACATTGCAGTTCCTGGAGAGAAGAGGAGGATTGCCCACGTCCCCAACCCCAGCCTGGCCACAGGTGAGTCCCGGGGAGGTCTTGGGAAGTGAGGCACTCAGTGAACCTGCAGTGGTAACCTTGAGCAAGGCCTGGCCTCAGTGTGCTTGTCTGTAAAATGGCAGAGTGTCTCCCTGACCATTAGCAGGAGGTTAAGGCAGGACTGGCATGGTGCTCTGGGCCTCTCCTGGCCTTGGTGTTGGCAGTGGGGGTTGGCTGTAGAGAGTCTGAGGGTGTCTGTCTGCCAGACCCAAGCCTCTTCAGCTCTGTCCTCCCACCTCCCTCCAAGGCCCTGACCTAGAGGTCACCTTGCAGCCCTCCTGTTCTGTCCCTGCCTGGTCTTTGTGTCCCTGCCTCCCCAGGTTCCCAGAGGCTGGTGGCCTAGCAGGGATCTGTCTGAGTGTAGGCACTGGGCTCCAGACAGTGGTGCTGGGAGTGGGGGCCAGCTTGGGGCTGTAACCCAGGGTCCCAGGCTGTAACTGAACTGAGCCAGCCAATCTGGCAAAGGGCTGGGGCATGTATTTGCTGCTCATCTGACTCTGAGGGTCACGTTTTGCCAACCGGGCGTTGTCTGAAAGTGGAGCTGCACACTTGATGGGAACATCTCTAGTTGGTGGTAGCTGGAGCTGAGGAAACGTGCCAGGCCATACTGCTGGAGTCACCTGGGAGCCTCTTCAGATGCAGGCTCAGCTTCCCCAGCCCAAAGGTCTGGCCCACTCTGGGACGTCCTTGCTGCTGGTTTAAAGACCCCCTTGAGTAGCCAGCTGAGTGGGTGGTCAGGTTCCACCGGATGGTCCTGCAGGTACAGGTGTCCACAGCCCTCCCCTGGTTTTCCTTGCTGTGTCCAGATCCTGATCCCTCTCCCCCCAGGGTACCAGAGTTAGAACAGTGACAGGCGTGGTTGTGGGTTTAGCTCAAAGAAGGGAGATTGCACCCTGAGACGTGTAGTTTCATAAATCTGCACCCATTGCATTCAGCCATCCACAGTCCCCGCTGCAGCAGCCAGCATTCCTGGCTCCCCTGAGCTCAGACAGCTCTTCTGTAGTTTTGGGAGACCCACCCAAGGCTGTGCACTTGTACTACATCTGCACAAGTCTAAAATCTGTAAAGTACATAGACCTCCCTTCCTTCCTTCCTGTGGGGTCTGCAAGGCCAACCCTGGCATGGGATTCCCAAGAACCAGGGACCTGGGCCCTTCACTCCATGCCTTGGTCTCCTCATCTGCTTCTGTCCCTCCATCAGAGCCAAACCCAGGCTCAGTGCTGGTCAGAGGTCCCTTGTGCATACACACTGGGAGATACACCTTCCCTGGCTGCACTGCCCCACCCGGAGCCCTTAGAAACAGCCCTAACCCTAACCCTCCTTCCTGGGGGTGGGAGACTGGTTTGTGACCTCACCAAAGAGGGTGGAGAACACAGAGGCAGTGTGGGCAGGCCAGCTGGGTCACAATGACCAGGCTGGGGTGTCCCAGACCCTCTGGTCCCCAGTCTAGGAACCAGGACCTTTCCTCCCTCAGATGTCAATGCTTCGGAGTCAGGGGCCAGAACATGTGGCAGAGGCTTCCCATGCCCCCAGTCACCCGCTGGACCACCCTGCTGGCTTTCGCAGCTCCATTTTTGTGTCCCCTCTCTCAATGGACTTGCCCAAAAGCAGATAGAGCCTAATGTCCTTCCACAGCCTGTGTTCCCACCCCTCGCCCTCCCCCCTGTGCTCTGAGATGCACATCCTGCTGATGTTGAATGACCGCAGCTGCCTAGTGCTCTGCAGCTCAGTGATGGGCGCACTGTCTTCCTGCACTCACATCCCCTGTCCCCCACCAACCCCCACAGGTGCCAAGAGGACCCTTGCAGCCAGCAGCAGCCAGCCTCCCAATGGCCTTGAGCTGGGCAGCCAGCCCCTGAAGACGCGCACGCTGTCAGGCATGGCTTCCAAGACCACCAGCACCATCACCCCCAAGCGCGTTGCGCACAGCCCATCTTTACAGGTATTGCCCCTTCCTGTGGGAGACAGGGCATCCCACTCGTGACACACCCAGCATCACAGGCTTGCTTTTCCCTCTTCCCATTCCTTTGTTTTCTCTTAGGTTCATTGCCTTTCACTTTTTAGCCTAGTTTTGGTTCACAGAAACATTGAGCAGAGAGAGAGGGCAGAGTCTCGTGAGCCCTCCCTTCTCATCAACATTGGAATAGGCATCTCTGGGTACCAGCCAGTGTGTGATGACCCTCAGGGTCACTAAGGCCCAGTTTCCAGCAGGCTTCCCCCTGTGTAGATGGGGTTCCAAGAAGTGTATCAGAGGACCAGGCAGGGCACACCACCCTCCACTGTTTCTGTGTCCCCTCCAGAGTTTAAAGAAGCCCGTTATTCCAAAAGAGTTTGGGGGCAAAGTCCCCACCGTCATCCGTCAACGATATCTCAACCTGTTTATTGAGGAATGTCTCAAGTTCTGCTCCTCCAACCAGGAAGCCATAGAGAAGGTGGGTGATGCTGGGAAGTGGTGCCCACTGTCTGGGGGCTGCAGGGCCAAGACCTGGGCAGAGGGGCTAAGACCACCTATCAAGATGTCCAGGAATGAGTAGCATGTCATCCCTAGGCGCTAAACGAGGAGAAGGTGGCCTATGACCGCAGCCCCAGCAAGAACATCTACCTGAATGTAGCTGTGAACACCCTCAAGAAGCTGCGGGGCCTGGTCCCTAGCACTGTGCCTGGTCTCAGCAGTAAGTTGGGCAGGGTGGGGACAGCCTGGGTGTTGCATTTGGAGGATTCAGCCCCACACCTCCTGCAGAGAGTGGCTGGGACCCTTCTGGCAGCCTTTCTGCCTCTCTGAGTGGTAAGATTCTCAGACAAAAGGCCCCCGGCTGTCAGGCTCTGTTTAAGCTGGCATTGGCCCCATGCCCTCAGAACAGCCTCTTCTTGCTTTTAACCACCCTCCTCCTCTGAGAATCTCCTCCTCTGAGAGCCGGGTCTCTCCAGCAAGGGGCCGGCAGCCTGCTAATGGGGCTGCCTCTTCAAAGCACGCCCTGCCTGCTCTATGCATTAACCTGGGAAGACGTTTATGGTGCCTCTCGAGGGCGCATTAAGCCATCAGCAGGCGCTTCCCTGTTCCGTTCGCGGCTGGGCCCCTCCATCCACTTCTGGACGAGATGGCCATTATATCTCATGTTAAATTCTTTCCCTACAAGAGTGAAAATCCCCACCCAGGGGGAGGTGGAAGGAAAGCAAGGGCTTCCAAGCAGCCCAAGGCCTGCTGATCCTGAGTTAATGTGGGGGTGGGGCAACTGGCTGAGGGTCACATGAGGTTGGGCCTCCCCTGACTCTGGGTGGTGACCAGGCTGTCCTGGAAACAGGGCACTGAGGAAGTGGGGGAGCACTTGGGAGGGATGGGAGATGCTCAGCCTTGTTTCACCTTCTCCTCCCACTTCCAGAAAGCAGTGGCCGGAGGGTTGTGTCCCATGAGGTGGTGCTGGGGGGCAAGTTGGCCGCCAAGACCAGCTTCTCACTCAGCCGCCCAAGCAGCCCCCGTGTGGAGGATCTGAAAGGTAAGCCTGGCTCCTCCAGGGCCCAGGGCACAGTGCCTGTCCCCTACCCCCACCCCACCCTTCCAACCACTGCGTGCCCCTCAGCTTGGTCGTCCTTAACCTCATTGGGGCTGATTGCCCGTCCTGGTCATCTCCAGGGGCTGCCCTGTATGACCGCCTCAAGGACTACCTGCTCACCGAGGACCAGCTCAAGGAGAACGGCTACCCCTTCCCGCACCCCAAGAGGCCGGGGGGCGCTGTCATCTTCACCGCCGAGGAGAAGCCGCCCAAAGACTGTGAGTTGCCTCTTGCCCCTGTGCTCCTTGTAGGGCGCACAGGGGAGGCCGTCCGGGCGCAGGGACCAGCAGGCGCAGACACAGAGAGACTCAGGACGTGGGGTCTGCCTGACTCCTCACCTGTCCTCCTGTCTGCCTGTCTGCACCCCCAGCCTCCTGCCGGGTCTGCTGCCGCTGTGGCACCGAGTACCTCGTGTCCCCCTCGGGCCGGTGTGTGCGTGAGGAAGAGTGTTACTACCACTGGGGGCGGCTCCGCCGGAACCGAGGTGAGACCCAGGCCTAGCCCCCTTCTCTCTGACCCTCCCCAACCCCTTTTTAATTTTATTTCCTTTAGTTGGTACTTTTTGACAAAAGTAACGTGAAAACCTGTTACAACATTTAGACAGATAAAGGAAGGCCTCCTCACAAGCCCGCCACTCCCACTTGCCCTTCTTTAGTACACGAGCACTTGTGAGAAATACGTGGGTGTTTGGGAACAATGGGTTTGTCCTGTCCTGCAGCTGTTGGTTTCAGTTAATGGCTAATGTGGCCAGGTTCTCACCCACGGGAACGCACTGGTCTCTTACAGACCCACCCCTGGGAGGGCACCCAGAGGGTCCCCTGGGGTGCTGTGTGTTTCCTTGGGCAGGCCCCAAGGGGACCCATGCCTGCACATGTCCTTGCTGACAGAGTGGGGAAGGGCCCATGCAGGGTCAGGGAGCTGCCCCTATCCCAAGTCCTCTCTCCCCTGTAGGGCCTGGTGTCACCCAGGAATAGGGCTGGAATCCCTGGCTTCACAGGGGCCACCCTTCAACGCAGGGCTGGGGTCCCTTCTCCTGGGAAGGCCCTGCCAGCCCAGGCAGAGTGGATGTCAGCAACTACCTGTAGGAGGTGTGAGAACACTGCCACTGATCCCTGTCTCCCTTGCAGCGGCTGGTGGCTGGGAGACTCAGTACATGTGCTGCTCAGCTGCCATTGGCTCTACTGGCTGCCAGGTCGCCAAGGTCAGTCTCCTGGGCCCTGTCAATGCCTCCTCATCCTGGGAATATCCTGCTCTGTCCTGATAGGAGCAGGTTACCCTCAGCTGCCCTCTCCTGTCCTTTGGTTTATCTGCTTTGGAAAGGGGAGTTTAGTCTGGTCCCATGAACTTGGCCTCATTGGCTTTTCCTGAGGTCCCCTCCCCACCCTCCGAGCCTCCCACCCTCACCTTCCTTCCCCTCCCCACCCTCAGCAACATGTGCAGGATGGCCGCAAGGAAAACCTGGAAGGGTTCATGAAGACCTTTGATAAAGAGCTTCCAGAAGATGCTCATCCTGGAATCTATGCCCTTGACTGTGAAATGGTGAGTCACCTGGCTGACACTTGCTGAGGACTCATGGCGTTTGTGAGCTGCAGGGGTCTTGCTGCTCCATGGGGTTGTCTCAGCTCCTCCGCTGGAAGCTTTGGGCCAGTGCAGGATTTAGGATAAAAAGAGCAGATGAAGAGCCATGAACAAGTTGGACCCGCCTCCCTAGGGGTCACGATGTGTCTGTAGCAGTGACGCTCATTGCCAAGCTCTGCTCAGAAAGGGCTTCTCTCATCACCAAGTAGATGCCCTCACCTCATCCCCAGCACACACCATACACATGCCCTAGGCACAGCCGCGCGTACTCAGGTCCCCTCTGCACTCGGATGCTGTGTGGGCTTCACGTGCACAGTGTAGGCTCTGGGAAAGGGCGCCTGGTCTGCTCTGACCCCTAGGCTCCTAGGCCTCTGCCGTGGGACTCTGGACTCGGGGCAGCCTTCTCGTGAGCACTGGGCTGGGGAGTGTGGTCAGTGGTGCCCAGGGAGGGAGACAGGGAGGCTGTGGGGTGTGTCTGAGCCACATCCTTCTGCCCTGCAGTCCTACACCACATACGGCCTGGAGCTGACACGTGTCACGGTGGTGGACACTGACATGCAGGTTGTTTATGACACCTTTGTCAAGCCGGACAACGAGATTGTCGACTACAACACAAGGTGCGGCCTGACTCTGAAGGACCTGGGATCCCAGGGTGGGAACCCCATGGTCCACTGGTGTCCAGTCCCCCTGACCCTGACCCAGCCCATGGGTTGGGGACCTTTGGTGCCCTCCCAGCCACCCTAAGTTCCCTGCCCTGCCTACACCAGGTTTTCTGGGGTGACTGAGGCTGACCTTGCCGACACAAACATCTCACTCCGGGACGTCCAGGCCGTCCTCCTGAGCATGTTCAATGCCAATACCATCCTCATTGGACACAGCCTAGAGAGCGACCTGCTGGCCTTGAAGGTATCCTGGCCTCCCAGGCTGTATCCTCAGAGGGCGAGTTGGGGCTGTGGGTCAGTGACCAGTCACACTGCTCTGGAATCCTTCCCAAGCCCTGGGTGTCTTTGAGGGCCTCCTAGGGTCCTGGACCCTACCAGACTGGCTGGCTGTTTCCACAGGTCATCCACAGCACTGTGGTGGACACATCTGTGCTCTTCCCACACCGCCTGGGCCTCCCCTACAAGCGCTCCCTGCGGAATCTCATGGCTGACTACCTCAGACAGATCATCCAGGACAACGGTGAGTGATGGGCGAGTGGGGGGGGGGCGGGCAGAGTTAGGGCTTGGCAGAGGCAGGTTGGGGCCCCGGGGCTGGCTCACCCTGACCCTATGCCCACTCCACAGTGGATGGGCACAGCTCCAGTGAGGACGCCAGTGCCTGCATGCACCTGGTGATCTGGAAGATTCGAGAAGACGCCAAGACCAAGCGGTGACCGCCGCCTGCCCACCTGCCCTCCCGCTTCCTGCCTCCTGCTGCCCTGGCCTGTCCTCTAGCCCCAGGCTTCTTCCAAAACAGTGCAATAAATCTTGAGAGCTAACCCTGTCCATGTCACCAAGACATGGGAATGGAGAGCATGGGAGGAGCCAAATGGCACCCAAGACCCAGCTCAAGACATACATGGAGCCCCAGTCCATGTGGTCCCTTGGGCCCTCCCTGCCTCTGCCCCAGACTGGTATCATTTGGAATCTGCTGCTGCTGACAGCGGAGGCTGGGACCACCTACCTGGCACACCAGTCAGGCCCTGCTTTTGTCCCCAGCAGTGACCTTTGTAGGCTGACCACCTACTCCTCCCCCCTCACCTGCCAGTATCCAGTGGGCTGGGTGGGCTTGTCACAGGTTTGTTTGGACAGGGGTTATCTTTTTTTATTTTGTATTGTTATTTTTAATTTAAACCTGATGACTTGCATAGTTTCCCCCCCTCACCTGGAGGAGCAAGACCCTGGTGCTGCCTTCCCTCTTGGGGGGGATAGGGATTGGGGGGCAGGGGGAGCAGTCAGCTGGTGCCTCCGCAGCCACCAGGACCCAAGAATCCAGCCTGGCCTGGGCCCGGTTGGGTGAGAACTGGCCTCCCCCAGCCATCCCCCCACCTCCTTGACCTCTAGGAACCAGGCCAGTCCCTCCTCCAGCCCCCAGGGCCTGGCCCTCCAGATGTCCCCAGGGCCCTGGTGTGTGGACACTCCCATTGGAGCCCCACCCTCACCTGGGAGCTCTCAAGGCCCACAGCCTCTTCCAGAGCCCCAGTCCCCTTTCCCTCATCTCCAGGCAGGGACAGAATAAATGTTTGTATGGATTTTAGATGTAAAAGGGGTCCAGTAGTGTTTTTGGTGCCAGATGTGGCTCCACATACTCTGTGGAGGTCATTGTCCCCATGCCAGGACTTGCCCCGGTGTAGGGGCAGGAGAGCCAGCTCTGGTTCCCAGGCTGCCTCCTGGGCCCCACGTCCCGCTCCCTGCTCTGGGGATGCAGTGTTGCCCTGCAGACCAAGAGCCCTGGGCAGTGTGGACCACCAGGGCCTGTTACTCCTCCAAGTCCCTTGGTGGGGGTGGACAGCCAAGTTCTGCGAGAGGCTGAATGTCCAAGAAGCCACCAAGGAAAGGGCAGGGTGGCCATGGTCCATTGTGTGCCATTTGCTGACCCCTAGAAACGTGTGTGCCCAGCTCCCTGAATTCATCCCGTTTATGTGTTGTCTTGGCTCTTTGGGTGTGGGAGGGCCAGGGCTGTTCAGGATTTTTTTTAAAAGCATATTTGCCCTGACCGAGGGTTGAACCCTCAACCTAGGAATGTGCCCTAACTGAGAATCAGACCCCCAACCTTTCGGAGCGTGGGACGACACTACAACGGAGCCACCCTGGCCAGGGTGAGATTCCACTTTTAAGTTATTCGAAGAGGAAAGTGAGGCCGAAAATATGGGACAGAAGATGCTGGGGTCCTCAGGTCCTGCTGTGGGAACACAAAGGCACTGGGAGGAAGGCTGCCACGAGGGGCCCTGCCACCCTGTCACTCTGGCTTTTGCTAAAGACCGAGAGGGCAGGATCCTGGGTTGACATGGCAGCCCCTCTCCTAGGGGTTTCCTGGGCTGTGGCTGCTTTGGATTTCTTCTCCAGGTCCTGAGGGCTCTGGAGGGGGACAGTGTCTGGTCCAATCAGGCCTCTGCCACTGTCACATCCCTTTGGGACCACTCTTGTAACCAGCGGATGTTGCCCCTCCTCTTCTGTAGAGTTTTCTAAGTAGGTGGTGCCAGTGGCTTCACAGAAACCTGTTTCCATGTGGTATCTGTACCCCTCAGCAAAAGTGAGGGGAAGCTGGGAGAGGAGCTCCCCAATTCAGGAGGCATGCAGGCTTATGGCTTGCCAAACCTGTTGGCTCTTGGAGGTCGAAACCCATTTCTCACTGCTCTGGAAGCTCCGCTGCCTGCTGTTGCTATCCTAGGGAGGAAGTCAGGTCCCCCGACCCCTTGTCACACTTGCACCCAGCAAGATCTCTCCTAAAGCCTCTTCCCCAGGGTCTTTCTCATTAACTGCTGGGTAGGACTGGATTAACATTTGTTGAGTGGATGAAGGAAGGAAAGGAGAGGTTTACTTGGCACTCGCAGGGGCCAAGCAGGTTGTGCAGAACCACCTTTCAAAGAAATGTGATTGAGAAGTTGCTGTTCACCCATTCATTCACTCACCCATTTGCTCATAGGTGATGCTGGTGCCTCAGGGGGACTGGGCCCAGGCAGGAAGAAGACACTAGGGTGCAGAGTCAGACAAAGACACCCCTGCCTGTTGGGTCAGGACTGGGCCAGAGTGAAGGACCCCAGGGCTGGGGGGGGGGGGGGAGTGCCCAGAGCCCACTGCTTTCCTAATCTCCGTGTTTCAGGAGCCCACAAAAAGTGAAAATGTGAAATATGGAGTTTAATCATCTCCCACGCCCCCAAGTGTGTCCCACCCCCCAATAAGCCCCAACTCTCAAGGCGACCCTCATTTTAGTAGCCCCTTCCACACGCACGTTCCTGCCCTCAGTTCCCCATCTCCAACAGGAGGCTGCTTAAGCCTCACCACTGTCTCCCATGCCATCACCTCCTTCAGGAAGACCCCCCCCCCCCAAAGCCCAGGCTGCTCACTCAGTGGGCACAAACCAGGGCAGAGCCTTATATGGGTTTCCTCCAGGTGTGGGGATAGTCTCGGTGCTCTAACGGCCTGTCCTAGCCTGGTGCCCAACATTGCGCCTGCGCATAAGAGGTGTGAAAACCCAGGCCCTCAGACCGGCAATTACCCACCCGTGCGTCCTTTCTACGCCCTTAGTCCCATACCGGCCCCGCCCAACCTCAGCAGGCTCCAGTCACTTCACCCAGGCCCAGCTTTACAAGATGCCGCCCCTAAAGGACTAGCCCCTTAACACCCTGTAGCTATTACGACACGCCCCTTCATTGTCTCACTTGTGGCTTAAGACCCCGCCCACTGACCACCGCAGCCCTTACCCACAGCAGCAGCTTGCTGCTGAGCTGCAACCACTCCAGAGAACCCTCCCAGGTTCGGTCTCTGCCCTGGCTCTGCCCACAGGGCCTGCCCTCCCCAGGCCCTCTCTGCAAGGCCCCTCTTGGACTCCTGGACTTCTTGGCCCAGTCCTCAGCGCCACCCAAGGTCGTCCTTGGCCTAGGCCCGCCCTTCGATCCTCCCCGGCCCTGCGCCAGCACCTCCCTTTTCAGGCCCGTTGGCATCAGGCAAACTGCACCACTACATTCCCCACTCCCCCGCCCCTGAACGCCCAGGGACAGCCCCAGGCAGGGCTGCGCCCTAGCCCGCGCCTGTGGGCTGCGGCGCTCCCGCTGCTGTGCATTCCCGGGTGCCCGCTCAACCTGTCAGGGTTCCATCCGCGCCAGAGGATGGGCGGGAGGTCGCTGCAACTGTGGAGTGGGCGCCCCATAGAGGTTCGTGCAAGACGGAGTCCAGAGGGGTGCCGACTGTGTACACCGATCTCCCCGATCAGGAAGGACCCGCGGGAGGGGGAGTGGTTGGGCCTTGAACCTCGGGAAAGACGGCTAATGGGGAGCTTGGGTGACCTGCATAGGAGTGAGGAGGAGGCGAGGACTGGGGGTGTCTTCCTATCCTAGCTACACTACTTTGGGTTGATTCTGGCTGTCCCAGTACCTCTCCGCCCTCACCTGCCCTGTGTGGGGTCTCCCTGGGCTCCAGGTCACTGGCTGAGCCTCACTTCTTTCCCTTTGGGGAATGGGTATGGCATGGCTCCCAGGAGCATGAGAGCTGGCCCTGAGCAGGTCCTACCCCATGGCTCCGGGGACACACGTGACTCAGACACCAGCCCTCCTGCCCTGGGAGGTTTCCCAGACAGGGAAAGAAGCAGAGGAGAGAAGGTGATGAGACCTGGAATGGGGGACACCCCAGGCAGAGTGAGAGCCCAGAGGAGGTGCCTGAACAAGCCGGGCCCATCTGAGAACTATGAGCTGAGACCAGAAGGGTGAGGAGGCAGTGACCAAACACGCGGGAAGGTTGCTCCTTGGGCAGAGGGAACAGCCCTGGCAAGGATTTAGAGAGCTGCTGAGGGCCCCTGATGAGACAAATTCCTGGCATTGAAAGAGTGACCATGAACTAAGCAGTGAGAAGGTTCCGGGCTCTGTGGAAAGTCTGGTGTCTGCCCCCATCACAGTTAACTGCCCTGAGACCACAGTCGGACCTCTCGGAGCCGCTTGGCCCCAATATACACATTTACCGATATGATGTATAACCCTGGGTCCGATGTAGTCAATCAGCAAACACTGATGAGCCCTTCAGTGGGATGGGTATTGTGTCCCATGTGGGAATTGGGGCAGGAGAGGGGCAGCCGGGAAACTGGAGGAGGTGGGTATGGCCATCGCAGGAGAAGTGATGGCAGCCTGGACTGAGGGCAGCCTGGAGGGTTGGCAGCATGGGTCAGAATCCATCCTGGGGGACTGACTGACCGTAATGGAAGTTGAGGCAACCTCGGCTTGGTAGCTGGGGGGACTGGTGAATGTGAGGCTGTTGCAAGACTGGGGATCAGCAGAGGCCCCCAATATCCAGGGAAGGATGCAGAGCCAGTGGCTGGACCTTCAGAGCCTGGGGAGGGGGCAGCCAATGGAAGTGGGAGGTGATATTTTGAAGGCAGTGGAGTAATAGACAGTGTCTAGCAAGGGCTGGGCCACTGGTGTAACCTTGAACCCCTCTCCCCAGCAGCCCGACCACCATGGGCAGTCTGGCCTACAGTGAGGACCCTGAGGAGGAAAACAACTCAGGTGCATGTTTTAGGGCCAAGTGGGCGGCACGGGGTCTGTGGAGGAAACCAAGGGGCATTATAGGGCGGTGGCTGGAATGCGGAGACAGGGAGACCACCAGAACCCATTTGACGGACCCAGCATGGGGTCGTCAGTGGGTTACAAATAGTCCCAAATCCCTTGACTGAATGCTGGGCTAAGGAATTGGGGGCTGCAGACCTGAACTAGAGGGGCTGCCCAGGCTGGGTGAGCAGCTCGCACACCTCGGAGCTCGGCATTAGGCCTCAGTTTAACCCTCTCTGTGGAAGGAATGGGGGTGAATGAATCTCCCAGGGCCTGTCCTCTGTGCCTAGGGTCTGGCCCAGGGTGATGTTTGTTTACCAGCTCCCACACCCACAGCAGAGAGCCAGGCGTCTCCAGTGCCTGGGCTCCCCCGGAGGCCCATTAGACCTCCTCTGGGGATCATTAGGTAGTGTTCATCTGCGCCCCACACCACGCCCCACTCTCTGGCTTCAGCGTTCACCTGGGAGGTGAAGGCCAACAGCCGGACTTACAATGACCAGTTCAAGGAGAAGGCCTTCCTGTGTTGGCAGAGGAAGAAGTACAAGGTCAGTGGCCCCAGCCTTACTGCCCTCCCCTACCTCCTCCCACCCAACTTACCCCCTCCCCCCAGTTTTAATCATGAGCAAATCACCCGTTTGGCCCTGGAATTTCTTGTGTGTCCTTGGCCCCACACCAGCTCACCTTAAAATCAGTTAATACTAAACCTTCAAAGTACAATGCGTTCATCAGGCTCTTTTTAAAATCCCCTTGCATGGGTCTCACTTGGGAAAATACTGGAGTCACGGGTCTGCTTGAAGGGTCTTTGCATGTAGTAGGAGCTCAACTGATGCTGGCTCAAGGCTCTGCACTTAGTTGGCACTCAGTAGAGTTGGCTTAAGGTCTTGGATTTGGTAGATAGTTAATGCTGGTTGAAGGCTTTGCACATATTGGGTGCTCAATCGTTGCTGATTGTGACCAAAGGGTGGGGCAAGACCAGGGTGGGGCCCTGGCCAGGGCAGTGCCCCCATGCTGGCTCTCATTGCAGGACAACACCATCCACACAGCCAAGTACGACTTCTTCTCCTTCCTGCCCCTGAATCTGTACGAGCAGTTCCACCGAATGTCCAACCTCTACTTCCTTTTTATCATCATCCTCCAGGTGGGGTAGAGTGAGGGTGGCACTGTGCACACACCTTTCCTTTCACCTGCTCAAATTGCCTCCTCCAGGAAGCCCTCCTTGACTAGCTTTGACACATGGCTCTGTAGATACACGGAAGTTCAAGTGTGCAGTCTGACTGTGCAGTTGCAGAGGGTCAGTATCTGGCTCCTCACACACTGGGAGTACCCTCATCACTGCATTCCTACTGTCCGGCCCAGGGCCTGGCTCACAGGAGGTGCTCAACATATGTTCAGTGATGAAGGTGCATGAGTGGGTCCTCTGGGGTCAAGGAGGACACAGCCCCTCCCCAGGATGGATGGCCTTGGCCACATGACCCCCTTGGCCCCAACCCATTAACCTGACCCCAAAGGGTGAGGAGGAAAGAAGAGTTGAGAGCAGATGCTCAAGGCTCGCCAGGCCACTTACGAGCACCTGGGTGGCCCTGCCAGAGGGTTAGTCTCGCCTGAGAAGCTTCCTCTTTCAGTGGGTGGGCAGTTCACAGAGCACCCTGCCCCTCACCTAGCAGCTCATTAATTTCACATTGCATTCTATTCCAACCCTCTGCTTTTATCCATCAATCCAGTGAACATACAGTGTGCAAAGTACTATGCTGGACACTGGGGACCTGGCAGTGGCCCTGATAGCCACTGTCATCAAGCCATATATCAAGAATCAGTGATGGGAAGGGGACCCACATGCCACCAAGGCCTGTCTAGGGTTTGCTTGGAGCTTAGGGCTGAAGGGTGACTGGGAGGAGCAGGCTTACAGATAGGGGACAGTAAAGCCAAGGTTCTGAGCAGCGAGCAAGCTTGGGGTCAGCAGGGCTTCCTGGAGAGCGTGACATGGGAGCTGGTCAGGGAGGGGAGATGAGTTTGCTGGGGGGAAGTTCCGGGAAGGGAGAGGAAATAGAGAGGCAACCGTCCCAAGGTTTGTGTTGGCGGGGAGGCCGGCCCCAGGCCCAGGTAGGTGGCAGGTGGGACACAGAATGCCAGGCTGAGGGGCTGGGTGGGAGGGCAGGGGGCGGCGGTTTTGGGGAGTGTCAGGGATGGAGGGTCAGTACTACTCCCTGGCACGTCCCACCTGTGTGTCAGGGCATCCCCGAGATCTCCACACTGCCATGGTTCACCCTCTTCACTCCGTTCATCTGCCTTCTCGTCATCCGGGCCGCCCGAGACTTGGTGGATGACATTGTAAGTGGGGTCGAAGGAAAGCTGGGGAGGGGACTGGGGACAAGGTGGAATCCTTGTTTTGCTGCCACAAGGGACAGGTGCCCCATGGCCTTTGGCCCTTGCTGCCACGCTGGCTGGCAGGTGGATTATGACTTCCCTCTGCTACCAGTAGCAGTTGTCCCCACAGTCCCCTCCCTGACCAGGGTCCCTGGACAGATGCGGATGGTGTGGGCTCACTACTGGGACCACATGTGTGAGCTGGAACTGTGCCCTGCACCTGGGCCCTCACCAGGGTGGTATGGGGACAGGGTGGGGGCGTGGCTGGGGAGTGGGATCACCCTGGGGGAGCAGGGCTGGGGTGGAGCCACCCCTCTGACCCACGCTGTTGGCTCAGGGGCGACACAGGAGTGACAGGACCGTCAACAACAGGCCCTGCCAGATGCTGGTGGGGAAGAGGTGAGGCCTCTGGTGCTGTGTTGGGGGGAGTTCATCCTAAAGAAGAAGACTCCAGCACAGTTGGAGGGGGGGTGCGGGAGGGTAAGGACACACCAGGGAGGGGTGCCTATCAGAGTGCCTGGAACCTTTCATGCCCCCTGGGCATCCTGGTTGAGTGTGATGTCTGACAGAGACCCAGCCAGCATTTATTAGATGCCTGCTGTCTACTAGGCCTGGGTGTGGGCCCTGTGATGGGACAGAGGATGGGAACCTGATTGCTAACCCTCCCAAGGCTGAGAGCTCAGCTGAAGGGAGAGGCAGAGAAGGTCTGAAGGGACTTGGATGCAGAATGAGGGGGAGGGGCAAAGTTAGGAAAGGTGGGACTTTCGGGTGGGCTGAGCCCACCGCACCCCCCAAAGACCTACAGGTGGGCACACTGGGAAGCAAAGCACCACGGGGGCATCTGCAGCCTGTTCCCCAACCTTGGGGGTGGCATGGGAGTTAGGAGTTCCAAAGGTGGGCCTGGTTGCGGTCCCCTCTCACACTTGCCACCTGCCCCCCACAGTTTTCTGTGGAAAAAATGGAGAGACCTGTGTGTCGGGGACCTCGTTCGTCTGCACAAAGACAGCATTGTCCCGGTGAGCTAGTGTCAGCCGGCCCAGAACTCCCTGCTGCTGGGGGAGGCCTGCCTCCCTGCTTGTCTTCCTCCTGCCCCTGCCCCCATCCTGCCACACAATGCTGTTTCCTCCCTCCCACTCCGCCCTCCCCACCCAGGCCGACGTGCTCTTGCTGGCCAGCACAGAGCCCAGCAGCCTGTGCTACGTGGAGACAGCCGACATTGATGGGTGAGGCGCCGGTCATCACTGGGGGCTTGGGAGCCTAGGAGCCAGCGAGGCCTTCCCCCGTGACCACAAAATGTGGCTTCCCAAGCCCACTGGGATATTTAGGTCATTCGTCCTGGGAGCACGTGTGGGGCACCTGCAAGCTGACAGGGGGCAATAACATTAAATCAGATGAAGGGGCCCGCTTTCTTTGCAGCAACATTTCTGGGGCCCCAGTGTGCTTCAGGTGCAGGCCCCTGAAAGTGAGAAGACCTTAGGGTTTTGCCTCAGCCATTTTGCCAATGTCCTGTGTGATCTTGGGCAAGGTCCTCTCCCTCTCTGGGCCTCAGCCTCCTGATTGGCAGCTGGTGCACAGTAGGGGCTCAGTGAAAATATTTGAGTGGCTCTCAAAGGGCCTGGGGTGGCCTTGCCCAGGGTGCTACTTGTTCCCACCTCTCACCTTGCTCCCCTTCCATCACCAGGGAGACCAACTTGAAGTTCAGGCAGGCCCCACTGGTCATGCACCATGAGCTAACCAGCATCAGGGAGATGGCTTCCTTTCAAGGTAATTCTGGCCTTTGTCTGCCCCTCTGCACAGTGGGCACGAAAGTTCCCCATCTCACTGGGTCTTGGGGGTGGCGATGGGGTCTGCTGGGAGGTGTCAGGGTTGCACTGGCTTTGAACAAGCCGGCTTATTCCAGGCCTGTTTCATGTTCTTTCAAACCACTTAACAGTCAAGGTGTTTTCTATTGTTGTTATGAAACATGTCGCACCATTTTATCAGACATTACATTTTATTTCTGAAATGTGATCACATTAAAGAAAATGCTTTTGGTTTTTTAATCACGAAGGCAGCCTGTGCAAACAAACGGGGAACCGACCAATCCATCACAGCTTCTTATCTTCCACCTGAAAAGTGAGGCATTTCACACCCTTGGGTACAACTACTGTTTGCCAGAGCCTAACAAGGGGATACATTATTTTTTTCCTGCCTTGTTGCAAAGACAAGATACTCCGATTGGTTCTAGAGCAGGCTCGTTCTCTCAAACCACAGCCCCTTTGCTTTCCATACTCAGGCACTGGTGCATTTGTTTCCATGATATCTGAGTAAAGCCTCGTTCTCACAGAGGGCCACGCACGGTGCGCCAGGAGTAGGGCCAGGCTGCAGGGTCCCCAGCATGATGGAGATGAGGCTGGCACCTCCTCTCCGAGAGACCATAGGTATTCACGACAGCACTGGCAGGAGTAAATGTCTATCGACTGCTCAGGGTATAACCAGGAGGAAGGGTTTTGGTAGGGGAACTGTTCTGGCTGGGGTCAGAGAGGGTCAGAGAGGGTTTCCTTAAGGAGCTATGAGTCCTGGCACAGCAGGGAGCATGCACAAAAGCCTTGAGGCTTAACAGGGCCAGCTCTGGAGAATCCAGGAGAGGCTACATGGCAGCAGGGTGGCGGTGCCAGGGGGGCAAGTTTGGGACAGTACAGGGCCCATGATGGTGGGTGGAACCAGAGGGTGATGGAATGTTCCCCACAACCTGCCCCCTCCTGCACTGGAGAGGGGTGGCCCAACCCTAGCCATGCCCTCGGTTCCATGGTTGCTCATAGGCAAGGTGGTGTGTGAAGAACCCAACAGTCGAATGCACCACTTTATGGGACACTTGGAGTGGGAGGGCAAGAAATACTCCCTGGACAGTGGCAACATCCTTCTACGTGGCTGCAAGATCCGGAACACAGACACCTGCTACGGAATGGTCATCTATGCCGGTAGAGCCGCTCTAGGGCCTCTGCAGTGTGAGCTGTCCTGGTGGGGGTGGGCAAGAGCCCTGCGGTCGTTGGGAAGAAGTCACAAGGCCAGGCCAGGCTGCCACATGTCTGCAGCATAAGATGTGGGGCTCCCAGCATGGCTTATATGGGGCCTGGGTTCTAGAACTTTGGAAATGGACATATTGAGACAGTACCCTTGTTTGGCTGGAAAAAGCACTTGTATGCAGATGGGTGGGTGACTAGGCAGGTGGGTGGTTGGGTAAAGGGGTAGGGTGACAGAAGGGTGTAAGATTTGATGAATGCGTGGATGGAAGACTAGATGGATAGATGAATGGATGGATGGTTGGTTGGATGGATGGATGCATGGATGGAAGAGTGGATGGATGGATGGACAGATGGATGGATGGATGGATGCAAATCCTGCAGGTTTTGACACAAAGATCATGAGGAACTGTGGCAAGATCCATCTGAAGAGAACCAAGATAGACCGTCTGATGAACAGGCTGGTGGTCCTGGTGAGCTGCCTAGAGCCCGTGCCCTGAAGTGGGAAGGAACACCAAAGGGGAAAGGGAAAGGGCGCCTCCCCACAGAAGCCCTGGCTGTCACTTTTCAGGCCTCAGTTTCCCTTCTCTGCAAAGGAAAGACCTGTCCACACAGACCTGTCTGTACAGGTCTGATCATGCAGACAGGTCTGTGGGCCAGAGAATCTTCTTATAATCATGATATTTTAAAAATATCTTTCTAAAATAAAATTTTTATCACGATTCTATTTATTTTTAATGAGGGGAAGGGAAGGAGAAAGAGAGGGAGAGGAACATCAATCTGTGAGAGAAATATCATTAGGTTGCCTCTCACACATGACCGGCCCGCAACCCAGGCAGGTGCCCTGACTGGAACTTGAACCGGAGACTTTCTGCTTTGCGGTACAAAGTCCAAGCATCTGAGCCATGCCACTCAGGGCTACAAAATAAATTTGGTCCTGACATTTTCCCAAACCCACAGAAGATAATAAAATGTTCACCTTATCTCCGTGCACATTTATTTAACAATTCTTAAGTTTTTGCCTAATCAACTTTATCTTTTTAAAAGTCATTGTAATAATTTTAAAAATAGCAGCCACAAAACCCAGCAAAACCCCTGCAAGTTCCCCTGCCCCTGGGACCGCCAGCCACCTCCCCCCAGCTCCCCTCTCCCATCCTGATGGCAGAGTTTAGGTGGGGGGCTTCCAGTCTTCTGTTTGTCTTTCACACTGACTGTGTCCCTGTTAGTGAGTTCCTGAGGTATCTAGGTGCTGCTCTGGGTCCCTCCACATGCTCCACCTTCTCATTTGCTGAGCAGATCTTCGTGTTCCTGGTGCTGATCTCTATGGCTTTGACCTTGGGCTTCCGGGACATGGTGACAGAATTCAAGGCCAAGCACCACTATGTGGCTGAGAAGCACGTGCACAGTGTAACCACCGAGTCTTTCCTCATCTTCTGCAGCTTCCTCATCCTGCTCAGTGTCATGGTGCCCATGTCCGCGTTCTTCACGTGAGCCCCCTCCCCACCCACTGCTCAGCGGGCGACACGTGGGAGCCTGGGTGGGTTCGGGCCAGGGCGTGACCCAGCTTGTGTTTGCAGAGCTGAATTCATCCATCTGGGGAACAGCATTTTCATCAACTGGGATGTGCAGATGTACTATGAGCCCCAGGACATGCCTGCCAAAGCCCGCAACACCAGCCTCAGTGACCAGCTGGGCCAGGTGGAGTACATCTTCTCGGACAAGACGGGCACGCTCACGCAGAACGTGATGACGTTCAGGAAGTGCTGCATTGACGGCATCGTCTACGGTGGGGCATGGCCCCCGCACGTCCCTTACCTACAGGGCTGCGTGGCAAGGATGAGCCTTGGGGTGTGGCAGGGCCCCCGGAGGAACCGCGACCGCCAGTAGAGCTGTGTGGGTCTCAGGGATGGCTGCTGACCTACCCCGCCCTCAGCCTCATCCCCAGCCAGATCTGAACCGTAGGACTGTAGCCTAAGGCATCTTCTCTTTGGGGGGCCAGCAAGTCAATATTCTTAGCTCTGCTGCTGCGCCTTCTTTGTGGAGACTCAGCTCAGCTCAGCCCTTGTCCCCAGAAAGCAGCTGCTGTGTGTGGACACCAAGCTTTGAATTTCATAGCGCCTCACGTGTCATGAGATAGAATATTCCACTTCTGATTGTCACCAACCTTTACTGAGGATGCTAATTTTGAATTCCACAGCATTTTCATGTTTCACAAGACAGTATTCTTTTTCTGATTTCCCCCAACCAATTAGAAAGCTAGCAGTAGCACCAGGCATAGGTCACCACCCCCTGATCTAGTTTATAGCAAAGGGACAGGGTGTAGAGCAGGAGCTGACAGAGGACCCAGCCGGGGAATTGTTAGGGGTAGCAGACAGTCACCAGTACAAGAAATGGAAATGCTGCCTGACCCTCAGCCAGGGTCTAGGGGGTGGGCGATAGGGAACAGTGGGGTCTGTGGTGAGTGGCATCAACCTGGGTTTCTGTAAGCCCACTGGGTCCAGGCTTTTATTTGAAATCACCCAATTTCTCCAAGTCAGCAACCAGGTTTTAAGAATCACCACTAATTCACAAAAGATGTGTTCACTGAGGCCTCATTCTTTTCTGGGTGGCTCTTCTAAGTTCCCCAGGTAATGGGGCTCCATCATTTCCTGCATAAGGCAAAGCTAAGGCTGAGGGCCCTTTGTTGTTTCGGGTGTCTGGTTCAGAGTCCAGGCCCTAGGAAGCCTGGCACTGGGGGTGGGAGCTGCGGGACCCCGAGCAGTCCAGGAAGCTGAGGTCTGAAACAGGGTCTTTCCCCAGGCCCAGACGAGGAGGAGGCCCTGCATAAGGTGAGTGCTGGACCAGCAGCACTGGATGTATGGGGAGGGGCAAGCAGTGACCCACCCGGAACCAGCTTGTCCCCCACCCCAGGAGAACCCTTACCTCTGGAACAAATTTGCCGATGGGAAGCTGCTCTTCCAAAACGCGAGGCTCCTGGGTGCTGTGCGCAGCAATGAGGACAGGATGGTGCGGGAGTTCTGGCGCCTGCTGGCCATCTGCCACACGGTGCTGGTGCAAAAGAAAGACAGTGAGTGCATTGCAGGCTGCCCAGCCTGAGAGGGTGTTCAGGCCCTGGACCTTCTGATGTGGTCTTTCAGCCTTAGAGGTTGTCCAGCCGACCCCCAGGGCTCCTGTCATCCAGCTTGGAGGGTGCTCAGGCCCAGGTACTAAGCCCTACCTCTTCTGGACCTAGAGGGTATCCAGGCCCGGAGCTCTCAGTCTGTTACTGAGCTGGGAGGGAAGGTCATCTAGACTGGGATCCAAGTGCCCACTTTCTTTTATTTGGCTTAGAGGTTGTACAGGCCCCAGAGCCATTGTCTTCTCAATATGTGGTGAGCGCCTGCTGCGTCTGTTTCCTCCCCTAGGGCTACAGGGGTGGAAGTGGGGCCTCCCCTAGATGGGTGGTGGGTCCCCAAAAGACAGTCAGTCCGCTCTCAGCAAATGCTCACCTCCCCCTACCCCACTCCCATGGTCCCTTCCCCCACAAGACCAGCTGTTGTACCAGGCAGCTTCCCCTGATGAGGAGGCGCTGGTCACAGCAGCCAGGAATTTCGGCTACGTGTTCCTGGCACGAACGCAGGACAGCATCACAGTGGTGGAACTGGGGGAGGAGCGGGTGTACCAGGTCCTGGCCATGATGGACTTCAACAGCATCCGAAAGCGGATGTCTGTGCTGGGTGAGCACCCTCAGCCCTGGGGATGGAGGTGGGCAGGAATGGATGTGCTTATGAGCAGCCAGGCTTCTCCCTCCACAGTCCGAAACCCTGAGGGCTCCATCTACCTCTACACCAAAGGCGCAGACACTGTCCTCTTTGATCGCTTGTATAAGAAAGACTTGAAAGAGTGGACCAGCACAGAAGAGGCCTTAACGGTGAGGCCCTGTGGGAAGGGAGGGAGGATGGAGGGGGAGGTAGAGGAGGAAGACGTGCAGAGAGATGGCCTCAGGCGTGCAGGGTGGTCATGCACCACTGGCCAGGCTGTGCTCTTCCCCCAGCACACATGGGCAGGGAGGAGCTGAACTCCAAGCTGCACCTGCACGGAGGGGCATTTTTTCCTAAGTCACACGAGGACCCTCTGTGGTTACTCTTTGGCCCTGGATGCTGCACTTCACCAATCCAGGCCTGGTTCTGGGACACACTCAGCCTCGCTGCCCCAAATCTTTTGTCTCCATGGTGAAGCCGTAACTCCTCAGCCCGGCTCTCGAGGCCGTCTTTGTGTCTTCTGCCGGCTTCTCTAGACTGGCTCTTTTTGCCCTCCAGGAGGTTCCCCAGGACCCCAGTTTCTGGCTTGCAGTTGCCCCCCTGCTCAGGTGATGCCCCAGGACCTCTGCACACACTGTTCCCTCTGCTTGGATGCCTTCCTCTACTCTGTCACTCAGGATCTTTCTGTTCTCAGGGCTCTGCCACCTCCTGGTCCCCACCTCCCGCCTGACCCTGACATGGGGCTGACATGTCATACCAAGTTACCTCTCTCAGCCAACTCCCAACCCTTTGGGGTTCCTCAGGCCCTTTGCTGCATCCCCAGGTCATCCAGCACAGGTGCCACGGGGGTGTGTTTGTACGAAGAATGCCCGGGGGCCTCACTCAGGACTTCTCAGAGTCCCTGCTCTGCCAGAATGGGAGTCTGGGCAGGCGTCTGGTCTCTGACTAAGAACTGGGGAAGTTCAGTCAGAACAATGACCCAGAGCCCAGGAGCTTGGCAAGATGGCTTGGCTCAACTGCCCCGTGGAATAGATAGGTAAACTGAGGCACAAGAGGAGCAAAAGGCCTGTATGGAGCTCCTGATAGCCAGGGAGCCCCTGTCATGTCCAAGCTTAACCTCTGAGGTCCATCTCCAGTCGAGAACAAAAGCAAGCCCTGACTGGTGTGACCCAGTGGATTGAGCACCAGCCTGTGAGCTAAAAGATTGCCAATTCGATTCTCAGTCAGGGCACGTGCCTGAGTTGCAGGCTAGGCCTGGTTGGGGGCATGCGAGAAGCCATGAGTAGATGTATCTCTTGCATGATGATGTTTCTCTCCCTCCTTCCCCTCTCCCTAAAAGCAAATAAATAAAATCTTTAAAAAAGAAGAGCCAAAGCAAGACCTGGGGCCACCTAATAGGGCACAAAACCTGGGGGTGAGGGAGTAGAGGCAAATAAAGAGCTGGGCAGATACCTGCCTTGGGGCCATCCAGTCCCCAGGGCATCCCTGGAGCTCTAAGTTCTCCCAGTGGGAGTGGGGGTGGGGCTGGATACCCACAGGATTTTTTCTTTTAGTTCCCTCTCCACCCCCAGAGCCCTGGCTGGAGGGGTTCTGGCAGGGCTGCATGAGGGTCTTCAGAGATAGAAATTGCTTCAGTGTAGGGAGGGAGCTCCTGCTGGGGGCACTGCAGTGGAAAGGTGTGGAGGCGGAGCAGACCTGGGCCTCTTGGGAGGCTGAAAAAGTGGGGAGCAGGTTGGCACATGATCCCGGCCCCCTCTGGAGAGAACGGACTGTGGGTGGGGGTCAAGGTTCAGGAAGCCTAGGCAGAGGGAGCGGGGCTGAGAGAGGCAGTGGCTGGAGGAGTGCCAGGGAGGCAGGGTGGTGACAGGATGGCCCGGCCGGTCCCCAGTCCTTTGCCAAGCAGACCCTGCGCACGCTGTGCCTGGCCTACAAAAAGGTGGATGAGGACACCTACGCAGAGTGGCGCCAGCGGCACCAGGAGGCCAGTGTCCTTCCTCAGAACCGGGCCCGTGCCCTGCACCAGGTGTATGAGGAGATGGAGCAGAACCTCCAGGTGGGCGTGGCACTGGAGGCAAGGGGGTTCCAGCCCTGTGAGCTCCCAGGTCTTCCACCCCTACCAGGGCAGCTGGGTCCCTGCTCAGTCTGTTCCTTGTCCCCCTAGCTTCTCGGAGCCACAGCCATTGAGGACAGGCTTCAGGACGGTGTCCTGGAAACCATCCAGTGTCTCAAGCAAGGGAACATCAAAATATGGGTACTCACGGGGGACAAGCCAGGTAGGTCTCAGGACAGCCATTCCCGGCAGGGAGAGAAGGGAGACCAGTGGGAGAGAACGCTTATGTGCCCCAGGCGCCACCATCAGCCTGTCCCACTTGTCTGGGTTCAGCCCTGTCCCTACCTTCTCCTGAGAAAGGAAGAAGTGGGATGATTAGAACTGCTGGGGTCCCCCAGGCACCTCCCTTAGGGGGGCGCACTGTGCCAAGTGCTTCTGGAGTGTTTGGCCTTCATGGCAACACCGTGAGTTGAGACTCTTGTTACCCTTGTGTGTCAGATGAGACCCCACCGGGCATGGCTGCCAGCAGGCCCATCATTAGCACTTCTGTGGACGGGGGGCACAGACAGACAAAACACTTAAAATGACAGTTTACAACTGTGTTGGTATAAGGACAAATGTTCAGGCTGGAATACATTTACTTTTTGTTTTTCTTTCTTCTGATTTGGAAAGGAATTAGGTCATTTTTGAGGGTTCCTAAAACTGCCCTGGGCCCTAGGCATGATCTGTCTAATAATCTCTTGGCCCTGGCCCCAGACTCACCTCCCTCCAGCTGCCCAGCCCCAGGCAGCCAGAGTGCAGGTCCCTCTGCTCAGAGCTGTAGCCAAAGTCTCAGTGCTGGCTCTCATTGGCTGCTTGGATCACATGCCCTCCAACTGAACCAATGTCCATAGCTAGTGAGTGGGGCAGGGTGGGCATGGCCCCTGATAGGAGGTTGCCCAGAGGCTGAACTGGGTTGTTTTGCAGAGACAGTGGTGAATATTGGCTTTGCCTGCCAGCTGCTGTCCGAAGACATGCTCATTCTGGAGGAGAAGGAGATAGCGTAAGGAGGGAAGGTGGGGGCAGAGAGACTGGTGGGGGCAGGGTGAGGGTGGGTGGTAGGGGACACCCATAGCTCAGGTGTGGCTCTGGGGATCTGCGGAATGTCCTCAGCCTCCACCCACCTGGACTTCCAGAGGGGAAACTGAGGCACAGCTGGGGAGGGGATGAAAGAAAGCTTGTACGTGGGCACGGCTGAGCCCCAGCTGGGTCCCTGCAGTCAGATCCTGGAGTCCTACTGGGAGGGCAACAACAACCTGCTGAGCAGCAAGGGCTCTATGAAGAACCAGCTCCTGTCACAGGTCAAGATGGCCATGGTCATTAGTGGAGAGTTCCTGGTCAGTGTCAGCTCAGGACTGACTGTGGGGCCCCTGGCACATGGGAGGGGGCTGGGGGGATTGGCAAATGGCAGGAGTGGGGGAAGGTTGGGGTGGGCTATTGAAAAAGCCAAAGTGAGTGGTATGCCAAGAGATGGTTTTCAGAGGGTCCGGAGCCCTGTAGTCAAGTCCAGCCTGGGGTTGGGGCAAGAGGCATGAGGAGCAGCCAGTACAGAGGTGTTCACGAGGGGCGGGATGCAGGCAGATGATGTGCTCCCTTGCCCCCTACTCTCCCTTGCTGGCCAGGACCAGCTACTGCTCTCTCTGAGCAAGGAGTCCCGGGTGCTGGTCCAAAATGTGAACGTGGACACGGAGGAATCCTGGCAGGAACCAGGCGAGCAGAGGACAGACTTCCTGCAGGCCAGGAGTGCCTCTCTGATGAGGCAGACCCTCTGGACCTGGCTGAGAAGCATAGGGCTGGTGCCGCAGAGCAAAGAGTCCAACGCTCATGAGAGCCCCCAGGTGCAACGGGAGCGGGCCTTTGTTGAACTGGCCTCGAGGTGCCGAGCGGTCATCTGCTGCCGGATGACGCCCAAGCAGAAGGCCTTGATTGTGGCACTGGTCAAGAAATACCAGAATGTGGTGACCCTGGCCATCGGGGATGGTGCCAATGATGTCAACATGATCAAGAGTGAGTGGTGGGCACTAGGCCTGGGGGAGGTCTGTGGTGGGCTAGGGGTGGCCCAGGGCTAACGGACTGCGTGTGTCCCTGCAGCTGCGGACATCGGTGTAGGGCTGGCAGGCAAGGAGGGCATGCAGGCGGTGCAGAACAGTGACTACATGCTGGCCCAGTTCTGCTTCCTGAGGCGGCTGCTGCTAGTGCACGGACGCTGGTCCTACATGCGAGTCTGCAAGTTCCTGCGCTACTTCATCTACAAGACGCTGGCCAGCATGATGGTTCAGATCTGGTTCGCTTTCTACAGCGGCTTCTCTGCCCAGGTGCCCTGGAGGGACAGCCCTTTGGGGATGCTGTGCGGGTGCCGTGCCTTCCTGTGGCTTCCAGGAGAGCGGCGGGCACGCTGACACTCTGGGGTCCTCATGGGGCAGGGCTTGCCTGAGATCGCAGGGCCATGAAACATTTTCTGTGGCTGCTTTCAGAGGTATAGAGTCCAGGTAAGGGCGGGGGGGATGTTTCCTGCACCGTACTGTGCCCAGAATTTTCAGGGATATTTGGCATATTTAAACATTGAAGCCAGGGCTTCAAAGGTAGGGCAGGGCAGGGCAGGGCAGGTGCTCCAAAGGTAGATCTTTCTAGGGGAAAGAGGGAAAGCTGGGACTCCAGCAAAGACAAGACTGTGAGGGCTGGGTCCCGGACTTCAAGACTCTATAGCATCATAGTGAAGAGCAGATGTGCCTCCCAGAGCCTCAGAAGAGCCACAGGCTGATGAGTTCCCTGCGTGTAAGGATGTTACCTGTAAACAGACAGCTGTGACAGGGATAAGCTCCCTGTCACTGACACCCAGGCACTTAGGAGGGGACTTTACAGAGGCGCCCCTGATAAGTATATATTGTTTGTTTTACTTTTTCATTTCTAGATATTTTATTCTTTTCAATGCTGCTGTATGTGGAATTTGTTTTCTTAATTTCCTTTTGGGATTGCTCACTGCTGGTGTCTCGAAACACAGATGGTTTCTTTCTTTCTTTCTTTTTTTGAAAATTAGCTTATATGTTATTTAAACTGATCGTGTGACCACTAACCCAGAAAGATGGTTTCTTGTGTGTTGATCTGTGCCCTGCAAATTTGTGGAATTCCTTTACGGGCTCTATGAGATTTCCAGTGGATCCTTTGAGATTTTCTGCATGTTATCTGCAAATAGAGATAATTTTCCTTCTTTCTCTCCAATGTGAATGCCTTTTATATCCTTTCTTTATGGGCTTTGGCTGGAACTCCCTGTAAGATGGTGAGGACTGCCATCCTTGTCTTGTTCCTGACCTGGGACAGGACAGCATGGCATCTTTCTATGTTTGTTAACTGGCATTCTTCTGTAGGAAGAACCAAACACTTCTCAACCTCATTCATTTGTGAAATGACTTATTTTTATCATTATTGATTCATGGATATTTATTTGATTGTGTATTTTATTGCTCCAGTTGTCCCCGATTTGTCCTTTTGACATGGGCCTGCTTTTCCCTGGACACATCTTCACTTTCTGGTTCGGAAAGAGGTTCCAGGCTCATTTTGTTTTTCCCTTGCCCCAACCCTGGAATCAGCCACTCCCGTGAGGAGCCCTGGTTCTTTCATTAGAGAACTGTAGTTAGACACCAAGAGCCAAGTGCGTGGTGTGCTTGCTGCTGCTGGAGTGCTATCACCTTCTCAGTAGATGAGCCAGGAAATGTACACATTTCCCACATGTACACATTCGAACCCACAAATAGACGCACATCTCCGTGTCTCTTTCCATTTCTGTGTCCTACATCTATCTATCTTGTGTATAATAAGATAAAAAACCCTGATATCTCTGATTCCAGTCCCACAGAATGAGGTTCAGCTTAGCCTTTTCCAGGTATGCATTTATGACTCTTTCTCAGCAGTGAAACTTGGTTCTTGTGAAATTCTTGATCAATACTTATTTGCTCTCTTGCAAAATGCACATAAAATGGCTTTTGGAACTGAAACTCATATCCTTTGTTGGGCGGGACTCATGCATCAGGAAGGGGGCTGGACTCATTGTCTGTGGGGTCTTTTCCAACTCTTCTACCCATCTGTGACTCCCTAAGTCTAAAATAACCAAAAACCACATTCCTTAGCCATTTCCCCTCCTATCGCTCTTTGTTGAAGCCCTCCAGTTAAACACTCAACGATGCTGCTTTAGAGAGAAGAGGAACCTGCTTCTTCTCTCTGCCTTTTAACTCCCAGACTCATTTAACCCAACCGTTGATTATAACAAACATTTCCAACTCACCTGAAATCCTCCCCAGGTGCCAAGCCAGCTTGGGTGGGTCTCCTTAGGAAGAGAGCATTTCTGTTTCTGGCCATTTGGCATCTGAAGGCTGACCGCTAACCACATTCTCCCATCCCTCCCCTCCCCAGCCTCTGTATGAAGGCTGGTTCTTGGTGCTCTTCAACCTGCTGTACACCTCCCTCCCGGTCCTGTACATCGGGCTCTTCGAGCAGGTGAGCAGGCTGAGGATTTGTTTCCTCCTTCCCTGTAGATACGCTTGTCTCTGCCCTACCTTCCCGTCTGTGGGGCTGGGGTGGGTTGGGGGTGGGGCTGGGAAACCACTACCATGTAGCTGTTCCCACCAGAGCTCAATAGTGGGTGAAGCGCTCTTGCCCAGCCACCCTCACCCTTTGTGGGACTAGCTCCAAATCTCGGTACCACTGCCTGCCCATCTGAACAGCAGTAGGGAGGGCATCCAAAGAGATGGTTCTCCTGTTTGCCCTTCCTCCCTCCCTGAGAAGGTCTGGCCAAGCAACCCAGACTAGGGCATTCCAGTAGAGCGTTAGGAGTGATGAAGTGTCTCATGCCCACGCGGTCCAGATGGAAGCCACCAGCCACAGGTGGCTAATGATGAGCACTTGAGGTATGCCTCATTGGGACCTATTTCATTTTTATTTATGTATTTTAAAAAGACTTTATTTCTTTTTCAGAGAGAGGGGAAGGGAAGGTGCGAAACATCTATCGGTTGCTTCTTGCATGCCCCCAACTGGGACCTGCAGGAATTGAACCAGTAACCTTTTAGTTCGCAGGCTGGCACTCAATCCCCTGAGCCACTGCAGCCAGGGCTGAACTTCATTTTTTTTTCTTTTTTCTTTTTATTTATTTATCTTTAGAAGGGAAGGGAAGGAGAGAAGGAGAGAAATATCAATGTATGGTTGCTTCTGGTGCATCCCCTGCTGGGAACTGGCCCCTGCTGGGACTGGCCTGCAACCCAGGCATGTGCCCTGATGGGGAATCGAACCACGGTCTTTTGGTTCACAGGCCCGTGCTCAATCCATGAACTTCATTTTTAAAAAACTTTTTAGCCCTGGCTGCTGTGGCTCAGTGGATTGAGCACTGGCCTTCAAACCGGAGGGTCACTGGTTCAGTTCCCAGGCGGGCACATGCCTGGGTTGCGGGACAGGTCCTAGCTGGGGGCCTGAGAGAGGAAACCAATGGATGTTTCTCTCCCACTCTTTCTCCCTCCATCCCCCCCTCTCTGAAAATATATAAATAAATCTTTAAAAAATAGTTTTTAAACTGTGCTGAAACAGCGGTAACAAAATTCACCAACTCACCATTGCCATGAGCGTGGTTCGGGCACACCAGGAGCAGTCCTGCACGTGCCTGTCGCTTTGCTGCCGACCTCCAGCACCTCCCCACCCGCACCCCCACCCCAGGACGTGAGCGCCGAGAAGAGCCTGGAGCTGCCCCGGCTGTACAGCGCTGGCCAGAAGGATGAGCTCTTCAACTACTGGGTCTTCCTCCAAGCCTTTACCCATGGCACGGCCACCTCCCTGGTCAACTTCTTCATGACCCTGTGGCTCAGCTGTGGCATGTCTGAGCTCTTCAGTGACTATCAGTCTTTTGCTGTGGTTGTGGCCCTGTCGGGCCTGCTGTCCATCACCGTGGAGGTAGGCAGGGCTGCTGCCCACCCCACCCCTGGTAGAACCTTGGACATAGGCCATGGAGGTCTTCTCATCTGGTGACCCTGCCTGAGAGGCTTTAGCAGGTGCCCTTTGACCCTGGGGGCCTGGCCCCCACTCTCCTCTACATGCTGTGCCTGAGGTTCCAGCCTGAACCTCAGGCACACTTTCCCTTCCCATTCAGGTCGTCCTCATCACCAAGCACTGGACGGTCTTGTTCATGCTGGCCATTGTCTTCAGCCTCTGCTTCTACATGCTCATAACTTGGGCCAGCCAGAGCTTCTGGCTCTTCAATATTGCCCCCCAAAACTTCCCTTTTCTGTGTAAGTTCCCCAGTAGGAAATGGGGCAGCCAGCCCCGGAGATGGGTGGGAACTGTGTCTTTAGGGAATTTGCACAAAGGCACCCTAGGGTGAAGGGTGAGGAAGCAGGTGGAGTGTCGGGAAGAGGGGGCGCTGAGTAGATTCTTGGGAGGCTCCAGCCCAGGCCAGGACGTGACAACTCCCTGTTGCCAGATGCTGACCGAAACGCGCTGTCCCACCCCTCCATCCTGCTGGTGGTCCTGCTGAATGTGTCTGTAAACACCCTGCCTGTCCTGGCCTTGCGTGTCAGTTACCAAGCTTTTAAGAAGAAACACCCCAAGGTGAGGGTGGCTGGGGTCCCCACTGCACGTTCCCAGAGCCCATGCTTGGAGCAGGGACCTAAGGGCCTGTGGAGCTGGGGGAGGAGATTGGAGACCCGTATGCACACCCAGTGCCCTCAGGGGGAGCCCAGAAACAGACCCCAGGACCCCAGGGTAGAAACCATACTTCCAGGGATAGAGGCGGCCGCCTGGTCCCAGCACCAGCGCTGGCAGACTCCCACCATGAATTATTTAGGACCTGGGGGTCAAGATGACAGAAATGACCTGAAAATGCTTAGGCAAAAGGGGGAGCTTAGAAACAACCCAAGCATCCATCAATAGATGAATGGATAAACACAGTGTAGTTCAACCACATGGTGGAATATTATTCAGCCTTAAAAAGAAGGAAATTCCAACTCTGGTTATAGCTTGGATGGACTTTGACGACATTACGCTCAGTGAAATAAGCTGGAAGTAAAAAGACAAACCCCGTGTGACTCCGCTCAGTGGAGGCCCCCAGAGGAGTCAGATCCACAGAGACAGGAAGTGGAGGGTGGGAGCCAGGGGCTGGGGGAGGGGATGAGAGTTGGTGTTTAATGGGGACAGAGTTTCAGTTTGGAAAGATGAAGTTCTGAAGATGGATGGAAGGGATGATTGCACAATAATGTGGATGTGCTTAAGGCCACTGAGATGTACCCTTAAAAATGGTTTCAATGATACAGTTTATGTCTATTTTACCACAAAGAAAGTGGGAGGAGGGAACCTACTGGTTTCATTTAAAAAGGAATAGAGGGACCAGTTGCAGCTGGGATGGGCTGCAGAGTTGACTGCAATAGTGGAGCAAGATATGGCCACAGACTTGCAGTGTTCTGCCACACAGGCCGGAGAGCTGGCCAACTCATGGTTAACCTCTCCTGGCTTTGATTCAAGAGGGCACTTAAGTTAAGTCCCAGGGAAGGACTGTGATTGGCTGGTCCAAAATCAGATCCCAGGGAGGACTCAACTTGGGTAGGGAAGAACCTGGCCAGTGACGGCCAAGGGCTATGAATGGCCCCCGCTGGGAGCGGGTGACCTGAGAGCAATCAACACGGTTTGGCAGCCTGATTAGCCTTGCTCTCCCTTCGCTCTGCAGGAGGAGGAGGCTCTGGCTGAGGGGACCGCTGTGGAGTCCCTGCCCTACCTACGCCGGGAGTCACGTGCCCGGCGCTCCAGCTATGCCTTCTCTCACCGGGAAGGCTATGCAGACCTCATCACACAGGGCACAGTTCTGCAGAGGTCACCAGGGGTCAACAGTGACACACTGGCTGATCACTCAGTCCCATCTGTTGAAGAATCGGCCCCGAGCATCAAGGAGTCACCCCAGTACCAGGGGAGCCTGTCATTCCTGGGGAAGAGGCGCCAGCACCAGGGGAAGGTGCCCTCTGAGGACGTGCGGCCCCCCTCCATGATGAGCTCCTCCTTGGCTGTGGAAGGAAAGTTCTCTTTCACTAGCAATGAGGCTCCTTCCACGAACTGGCAATCTGGCTCTTTCCGCAAGGAATTGCCAGTTAAGCAGGCAAGGCCATATTCTTCTGTGAATCTGCCACCAGCCAAGGGGAGGCCATCATCTCTCAGAGGAAGCCAGATGCCATTTTCTGAAAGCCAGCCACTGCCTTCTGGCCAGTCATCTTTAAAGAACCAGCCAGCATCCCTGGAGAAAATGTCCTTTTGGAACATGTCGCTGCTGTCCCAGAGGAGCTGGCCATACATCTGGCAAGAGGAGTCCCATCCCCATAAGAAAGGGAGGCCACCACTTCCCAAGTCCTACCCTACTCCGGTGGAAAGTGCCACCGAGTAGGGGAGAATCACCCACAAATGAAGGGCCGACAGAGGTGGGGGCCCCACCCTCGGAGAGGCTGCCAGTGCCCAGAGCAAACCAAGTCCCACCTGTCCTGGCAGGGCAGCCACCTCGGCTCGGGAGGCACAGCGATGGCCCAGGCTCAGGAAAGGTCAGCTGGGGAGCATGAGGCCTTTCCCCGACTACAGGAGCTTCGCATCCTTTTCTTCTTCTGATAATTATGGCAGCATCCCTCTGACCCCAGGGCTCCTCGAGGCGCTCCGTTTTCCTGTGCTTCTTTCTGCAATGTGTCCTGCGATAGTCTTTCCTGGTTTTAAAAATCAAAACATGCTAGTGGCCAGATGAGGGGTTTTCAAGGAAAGCCAGTTTTACTTATTTGTTTATTTTTCCCTTTTTTCACCCTGGGGCAGATAATGTGGACAGAACTTGACTGCTCTCAGAAAGAAAGAATGTGCCGAGCAGATTCTGCCTACCGGTCCTGGCTCCCTGGCTGCTGCCTGCCGGCCTCTCCCAGGGCAGTCGGTAAGGTCCAGCCTGGCAGCACCCCAGCCTACTCCCCCTCCGGCTGCCCTGGTTCCTTCCCCTCAGATAAACCACCTTACACTTCAGGCTCCAGAAAGCAATGGGCAGTGATTCCTCAGACGCAAGTCCCAAACAAGATGAGGCTTGATTGGCTCAAAACCATTGAGCTTTTCTCTGATTCTTAATGGTTCCCATGGAAGGTGGAGTCCTTTGGGGCTGGGTGCTCAGGGACGAGACTGTGACCGTGGCCACGGAAGGGGGCAGGGTCTGGAGCGAAGAGGACCGAGCTGAGGGAGACCGACTTCCTCCTCCCTTGTCCCCTCTGTGCCTCCCCATCTTTGTGGTGGGTGAGCCCCATTCCTTGCCCTCCTGTGCCCCTCAGTGTCAGCCAACACACACACCCAGGTGAGTGATTAGAAAATAATTTATTGGAGAAAAACAAAACAACAAATCCAGCACAGCAGTGGTTAACAACGATGGTGATTTTTTTTTTAAACTTTGAAGCCTGTCGCCTGAGGGCGGGGTGAAGAGGGCTTCAGTTCCCTCTGGCATTGGGAGGGGCTTTGAATGACCCCAGGAGTGTCCCCCCTGAAAACAGCCCCAGTGTCCAGTCTCGATTAAACACAGGGCTCTCCACTCCCAGATGTGGGGGTCCACCCAAAGACCAGCCTGTGGGATGGGTGGGGGGTGGTCTGCTGGGGCTAAAAGGAGGAGCCCGGGGGTCTGGGGGCTGGTGTGGCTCACACTGCTTTGGGCAGAGAACGTGAACCAGCGCAAGTTGCACTGACACAGGGGCTGGGTGGCAGGGTCCCCGGGGCATGTGCCACCCCACCCTCATCTCGGGTGGGTCGATCCTCCAAACTGAGGCTTCCTGTCCTTTGGGGTATAAGGGCCTGGGGCCTGTCCTGGAAGGTGAACTCTCCTGATGGAAACATGGGGCCTTGTGCCAGAACTGGAGTCACAGGCCTGGAGACCGTCCACAGGACTGGAGTCCCCATCATGATTCTGGGAGACCCCTCTGTTGTCTAGGGTCCCAACGTGGGCTAGAAGCAGGAATGCATCCCCCACTTCCCAGGCCAGTCAGAAAGGTGAACTCAGGTCCAGCCCAGAGCCGAGGAGGAGGCGGGGGTGTCTGGGGGGAGCCTGGCCAGGTGCCTGTCCTGGGTCCAGAGAGGGGTTTTCAGGAGTGTTCTTAGGGTCTCAGGAAGTTGGGCTATACCCTAGCCTCACACCACCCTGGGCGACAAGACTCAATTGATTGTCTCTCTCCTCTGAACAAGACACTTGGGAATTCATGCTAATGTGAAACCAACCGGGGTCCAAGATGGCAGTGACAGCCACCCGCGCCCAAGAACCAGGAACAGGACACTCAGCAGGCACAGGCGGGTGGCGTGTGGGCACCAGGAGGTGGGAAGCCAGTTTGGGTGTGTAAGCCTTGCTGTCCGCCTTCTTCTTTCCTCCCGCCTCCCACCGGCTGGACACAGATCCTCAGAAAGGGGGAAATCAACAGAGAGCAGCGCGAAGGGGCCCGGACAGCAGGGGTCGGGCGCGAAACACAAGGATGCACATGGACTCCGGGGCTCCGGCCCCGCACCCCGTTCCCACCCCCCACCCCATCCACTTAGTACATTATCAAGAAAGAGTACATTAGTCATGCATCAAATCAAATTCCATTGCGTCTTTTTTTCCATTTTCTTTTTTTTCTTAAATTACATTTGAACACGGACCACATAGAATAATAAATACTCTTATAAGACACGACTCCAAAAACAAGAAACAGAACACGCCAGAGAACACAAAGGTACCCTCTCTCTCTCTCTCTCTCTTCCTCTCCTTCCTAAAGGACTCGTTTAAATAAGAAATCTGTAAACGCCCAGTCCTTCGGTCCTCCCAGCTCAGGCTCTCGCTCACGCTCCCTCTGTCTTCCGCCTCTGACTGCCCAGCTTTCGCTGCCTCGACATTCAATATGTCTCCCACAGAACTCGTCAAAGAAATGACATACCATCGTTTGCAAAATTATAATTTAACGGTATAAAGCTTCAAGTCACGTATTCCAAAAACTAGCTAAGGATTTTTTTTAATCACATAAACTATACATTAAATATTTTGAGGTATTTCAGAGAAAATTGTCAAAGGCTCAAAGGAGCTGTGCTGGGGGCGTCGTTCCCTGCGTGGAGGGTGGTCTTTGGTTTGGGATGGCGGACTGGGTGTCAGTGACGGGCAGGTAGGACTCAAGGGGGCCCAGATGGGATGGGGTGCGGGCCTGCCAGAGGAGGAAGGGGTATGGGAGCTGGTGTGTGTGATCTGAAGGTGTTGGAAAGGGACCCAGGAATGGGGGGGGGATGCTTCTGTGACCTGTGTCAGTGGGGCTTCACCTGGTCTGACCACAGTTTACCATAACTAGAATGTTCTACAACCAGAAGGATCCCAAAACAGTATCTAAATTTTCAGCAGGGGACAAAATGGGAGGCTCCTGGCCTCTGACCCCTGGGTCTTGAATGCCAGGAAGTCAGTGACTTGCTCAGCAGAGGGTGTCCAAGGAGCTGTGTCCTTTGAAAACAGGTGCTGGGGGGAGGGGTGTGGAGGTGGTGCAGGTAAAAGGGGCCGCACCCACCTACGTTCGGGGGAAGGAGGTGGTTGCTGAGCCAGAATGGGGGACTCTTAGGGGAATGCCCCAACACCCAAAGGTTTTAGAAGCATCACTCAGGTCCAGCTGCTTAAAAAGCCCGGACAATAGTGAGTCGATAAGGACGAGAGAACATTTCACACACATCTTTGGTTCAAGAAAAAGGCACTCATCGACCTCACTATCCTCTCTGTCATTCTCTTTCTGGTGGGGGTGGCGGCACCTAGAGGGCAGGGCCCAGGGCAGGCCCCAGAGCACACAGTCGGAGGCAGACGCGAGGGAATTCTAGCAACCAGCACAAGTCCTTGGGGGAAAATCTTTGGTATCAGGCGTGATTTTTCCAATCACAGACATGAACATTTGAGTGAGGTAGCCTTTACCTGGGGAGGGGGAGGGCATTTCACTAGAAATGTCTCTTGCATTCTCAAGGGGGGCAGTGGCCACCTCCCTGGGAGGCAGCGAAGAGGACCGGGTTTGGGGGAGGTTCCTTCTAGCCTCTAGATCATGATACCCGAGGAGATGAGATGGGCTCTTGGGATCCAGCTGCCGACCAGTCTCGGAGGTCGCCCGGACCAGATGAGCAGGGGAGGTGGAGGGTGTAGCTCATCTTCATTTCTGACCCTTCCTACCCCTTTGTCAATTTTTTTTTTTGGCAAAAAACAAGCAGATTCCACCTTCTTCTCTGTGGAGACAGACATGGCAAACACAGGTTCACCCCGTCACCCCTCCAAGCCCAGTGCAGCACCCCAAGTGCTAGGAGGTGGTGAGTGACTTCCAGAGGGTTCCAGGCAGATGGCAACACATGGCCCCGGAAGGCAGGGACTCCAGAGGTCTCCCGTGCTCTGCGTCCGTGGACTTAGCTGTGGAATCTGATGTCTTCTTCTGTTGCCTGGTGTCTGTCTCTCCCTCTGTGTCATTCATCGAGGTGCCTAAAGCTAAAGTGAAATGACAGAAGGGTGCAAGGGGGGAGGGGAGGGGGTAGGAGAGGGTGCTTGCCTGTGGGTGCTGGGCATGGCCGCTGCAGGCCCCTCCCCAGACGTTAAGGCAGGCAATTCTTGGCACAAGGAATCCTGGCTGCCTCCGGGAGGGGCGGCTGGGCTCTTGGCTGTGGGGGCAGTTCTGCGGGAGGATGGGGTTAATTTGGCGTGGGTGGGTGATGGGAGGGATCCCACTGGATGTGGCAACTTTAGAAGGGACTGAGTTCCCGTGGAAGGGTCCGTGGGAGGGTGGGGGGGTAGGTTCTTCCTGCCTCCTTTTATGGGGGTTAGGGGCAGCTGGCGAAGAAGGGGTTACTCTTAAAATTCCTTTTTTTTAATACCCGGTTTATATTTCTAGTATGTGCTTCTTGACCCGCTTTAGGGGAGGACACAGCAAGCCCTGGGGTTTCCCAAGGCCCCTGTGCATCCTAAATTGAGAGGGAGCTGGGGAGCCCCTTTTTGTCAACCCATCCTCTGAGGGGGGATGGTGGAGGGCTTCCTTTGGCTTGAAGGGGTGGGACGGAGAGAGGAGGGGGGCCCTTTTGTGCACTTGGGCAGAGGGGTGTGCTGCATCCCCTCCCTGGGAGTCGGGGACCCGGACTGCATCCCTTCCAGGTGCCCCCTAGGGTGAGTCTCCAGGTTGGTAGGGTGTGGTGGGAGATACAGGAGGCCAGCGCCCAGGCCATGGAGGCAGGGAGGGCGCCGGGCTGGGGCGCCTCAGGCCTTGGAGAAAGTGGCGGCACCAGCGGGGCCGCCAGGGGCCGCGCCGGGCTCCTCGGCCCAGCGGTTCATGCAACGGCGCCGCGCATTCATGAAGAAATTGCTGACGGTGTTGAGCTCCAGGCCGAGCTGCTGCGAGATGGTGACCTGCATTTCCTTGGACGGCCGCTTGTTCTCCTTGAAGATGGCGATCAGCGTGCGACGCTGCAGGTCAGTGAACACCAATCGCTGCTTCTTTGGCTGCAGTGCACGCTCCTTCTGCTGCTCCTGCTCCTTCCGCTTGCAGGCTGCCGTCCAGTGGCGTGCGCGAGGGCCAGCGGAGACAGCGCCACCACGCGGCCGGGTGGGAGGAAACAGCACGGGAAAGAGCACAGTGCAGAGACACCAGAGAGGCAGAAACAGAAGCGCAGAGGGATGGAGGGACAACAGGGGACAGGGCCAAAAGAGGCAGGGAGACACAGAAATGTCAACAGGGCAACATGAAAGAGACCATGGGGCAGCAAGAAGGAGGGAGAGATAGCAACGGAAGGGGGGCAGACAGTCATGGGTGAAGAGACAGACACAGGGCAGGTAGATAGGGCGGGGGGGGCAGACAGAGAAGGGGAGACAACGTGAGTACATCTCTACAGACATGGGCCATCACCCTCCAATACCTCTTCTGCAGGCCAGCCCTCTCCCCAGCTCATATCCCCAAACCTCTTGCCCCACCCCCACCAAAGGCTCCACACCCCAGAGTACAACAATAGGTGTTGGTGGCTCTCCCCCATCCCAAGATTTGGGGGATGTTCTGGGAAATGGCTTAGAAACTCTGAATTATTTGGATCCCTGTAGATGGGTAAATAGGTCCTTGGTGTGCATTGCATATCCCATAAGTTTCCCCTTTGGATGACAAGGCAACCCCGTTCTCAAAAGGACGGTGATGGTCCATGCCTTCTTCCCTGGGCTGTCCTCCGAGGCCTGACCACCTTAGGGACCCTGTATAGGGTCAGCATTGGCGTCTACAGCCTGATTCCCATATCTGAGCCTCCACTCTGGCCTGCCCCCATCCTGATCCCAATCAGCAGGCTGAGACCCAGATGAATTGGTCTTACTCAAGTGCCCAAGCAAGCCGGGAGGATCTGAGGAGCACGGGAACGGTGCAGGACCACCCCTCCCTCTCCTGGGGCCACTGGGCAAAGAGCAGGCAGGGGCTGCAAGAGGGGACCCTTGGTCAGCAGATGCTTGCAAAAGGAAAACAGCATTAGCTTGGAGAGTGGAGCAGGGCTTGTGCCTGTGGTCCTCCTCTTCCTTCCCCCAGCTCCAAAGTTGACTCCCTCCTCAAATGCAATAAGGGGCCAGTGGGTGGAAAAATTTGACTCTGTCAGCTGGGGTGGGCTGCCTCCCCTCAGGGGCTGGGGGGGTGCTTGTGGCTTCAGTGCAAACTCTTTCAGAGTCCTAATTTCTCTGCCACATACCAGTCTGGGGCTGCGGATGGTGAAGAACCTGCCCCATCCTGCCTCCCCACAAATTCTAGGAGTGACCAGTGGTGCAGGCTGTCCTGGCAAATCCCCACTGCCAGCGTCAGTGCTGGCCTGCTGGGACCACACACTGAGCTAGCTGTTTTTGGATGCAGAACAGTCTGAACCAGATGACACACCAGATCAATGTCTGCACACATCCACAAAGGGAGAGGAACGTTCCCTGCACTGTGGCTCATTTCTCAGGGACAACAGGTTCTCCCAAGTAACCCGACACACCACTGCACTCCTGTCCCCCTCTGACCTGGAACTAAGGGCACTTCTTATTGGCTGTTTTGGGTTTTATGATTAAATATGGGCGATGGCTGGAGGTTACTGGACATTTTATAAAAGCCTCTGATGTGTGAGAGAGAGAAGGAGAACAACAAAAATAGTAGCAGGTGAGGGGGACAATAATCTCAGAAGAAACAGACAAATCAAGCAAACTATAATTAATATTCTTGGAGGGGTATGAGAAAAATACCGTATCTGTCAAATGGGAACAGGATGCTGTTCAATAAAAAGGACAATGGAAGGGTCAGACAATGCGTTGGGGTTTAGATATATAATATAATAGCTGGAATAAATCAATGTAAGAATTGGAAACAGAACAAAGCAGATGTAGAGGTGGAAAATGAGAGAAAGATAATAAAGCTGGAGGATGAATGGAGCAGGTTTGTCATCCGGTGAAGAGGCAATCCCCAAATAGGGGAGATTATCAAATAAATAATGAAAGAAAGAATGCAGGACTGAAGGACATAAGAGTCCAGTTTAAAAGAGCCCATGAAGTGCTCAGCTCAAGGAATGAAAGAAGACACTCCCTAAGGCACATCCTTGTGAAATTTTAGAGACTCAGGAAAAAAGAACATATAAAAGCCCCCAGAGAGGAAAGGCAGATGTCATACAAAGGATTAAGAATCAAAGTGGCTTTGGGCTTCTTAAAAACTAGGAGTCACTGGAGTGATACATTTAAAATTCTGAGGGACAATTATGTTCAGCTAAAACTGTATGCCCTGACAAACATCAAACATGAAGGTGGAATAAAAATATAGTCAGACATGCCATGTCTTTCTGAGAAAGCTACTGCAGGATGTGTTCCATCAAAATGAGGAGGTAACTTAAAAAGGGAAGGTGTGGGATTCAGGAAATGTGGTTCAATCTAGGAAAAAGGGGGGACAGGTCCCCCAAATTAGGAGAGGAGAGCCTGGAAGACAGCAAGAAAAAGGCACAAAGAGCAAGAGGGAAGCTCCACCCAGATCAGAGCAGGAACATCAAGGGA